TTCCTTCCTTTCCTTCCTTTCCTTCCTTTCTCCTTCTCATTTAGTACTTCCTACAAATACATTATTTCAAATGAGAAAACACTCCAAATGTAAAAGTCTGCTTGAATCTGTATTCATGTACACCAATGATCACAGTGATCCTTATTAATAAATATGTCTTCTCGAGAGAAGTGAACATATAGAAAAAGTACTACAAGCTCTGCAATATAAAATAGATTATTACTAAAAATAAAATAGATAGCAACTCAAAGGAAAAAAAAAGAACTTTGTGCGTAACAGTAGGAATTACACGGACAATTTAAATCTGGAACATGTTATATAGTGGACCTGAATTGCTTGCTAAGTGTAATGATAAATGTGTTCACATCTTTTCCAGCAGCAATTTCTCCCTTTAAGATTAAAAAAAAGAAAAAAAAGTGGTTTAGAAGCTGAAGCTCTCAAATAATCTTAAGAGGACAATGAGAGATTTGTGGCCCACTGATATCAATAGATTGTAGTGTTGACTTCGGTGGGCTTTAATCAGGCCTTTGATGCTATAGAAGTTCATTCAGGAGTAATAAATTTGAACTTTCTAGAATTAAAAATCACATGACAAAGAAATAGGAAATCCAGCTTGAAAAATAAACAAATGTTTTTTCCAAATGGGTTTGCACCAAAGTTTTTAAGGACAGTAAAATCTTTTTTTTTCTTTTTTTTTCATTAAAGCACATCTAAATCAGAAGTAAATATTTTAGTATCACCAAAAAATGAAGCAATTTAATTTGTATCAGTTGAAACAAGTCTTTAAAAAAAAAAGTGTCTATTTTCTTTTTTTTCCCCCACAAATAATTTACCTTGCAAATCATTTTGGTTCATCAAAAATACACAGTTCTTGGGCAAAAGAAAATAAAAGAAAAAGTCAACCACTTAAACTAATCAGTTGGACAGTGAGGAGTTTTAGGAAAGGGACGCTATCCTGCTGGGGAAGGAGGGATCCCCAACTTTCCAAATGAACTTGACTTCTCATTCTTTTTTAGGCTTCCACAACATGGTGACCTTTCCTCTGAAAGCCACAATCCATGGCCAACCAGGACATGCCTAGCTTGAAAGGTCATGACTAATTTTGCCTGGTGTTGGGCTCTTAAAGGGTAGTAATAAAGGCAAAGCAAAACATCTCCCCTGTAGCCAGCAGAAATGATCAGCTTGTTCATGCTTAGATACTCTCCCTTTCATTTCTTCTAGGGAAGCAAGGAGAAACTGCTTCAAAGACCCATCTCCATTATCATCTGAATGCCTTGCAGAAAGTTTAAATTCCAACCTGGTATATTTCTCAATTTCTACAATTGCATTTGATAATCAAAACAGCAATGTGCTATTTATTGCACCTTCTGTACTAAAACCTGTTTCTTGAAATAGATGCGTAGCTTTTGAAAAACAGTTTAGGTTAACTAAAGATTAGCTTGTATCTGGCCCAAGGTATTTAGAAATTCTTCCTGCTGTGTAGCAAAGATGCTATTCAAAGCATTTAATCAGAAATTTACAAAATATGCTTGATTTTGCTCTATTAATCTGGAAATCAGTAGTGAATCAATTTCTTAAAGAAGAACTTAAAGTACTTGATTCATTGCAGTTGCTTTGTTTATAGCATTGTGGCCTGATCTAAAGTCCACTGAAATTATAGGAGGCTTTTCAATTACTCCAATGGGATCAGGTACATAATGCATTACTTGTAGAGCATCAGAGGTAAGTCTGGAGGGACTGAAAACTACTATCCCATTCAGCTCCCTGAAAGTGTGTTTTAAATCATTCCAGACTTGCTTACATTTACACACCGGTAATAACTGAGTAAAACTGAATGTATAGTACTGTTGGGATCTTGACTCTCAGGCTTCCAACATACGGAATTACATGGTGCCACAAAGGCCACTTTCCCTTTCACTAAATCAGACAGTGTATCAGTATGAAATATTCTGGCCAGAGACTAAAATATTTTGATCACAATGCAGCTGCAGTGGCTCATGCCATTCCTGTTCTTTTCAGTAGACTGCAGTTACTTGACATCTAAATGAGGAATGATGGTGCATTGTGGCAGTCATACCTGAGAAGATGCTAGCCATGTGGAAAAACTGCCTTCAACCTGCAGGGTACCTCAGGGTTCCCTGTGTATTAGTGTGACTGGTTTTGCAGTGTTCCAGAGCAAGTGCTTTCAGATCAGTTTTATATTTTTACTGAAAAATCCTACAAAACCAAGCTCACAAAAACTACTGTCAATGGCACTGAATGAAAACTAGGCCTCAGGAAGCTTTCTACTGGACATTCATTCTAGGAGTCTGATTCATATCCCATTGCTTCATTAGATGTTAGCTCAAGCCCCGAAGGGAAGATGCTTTCTGGCCAAGCTGGCACCTGTTGATGTGTCACGAGCACGGGTGTGCAGCCTCCATACGCACATGGTCAGGGTTGTGGTAGCCCTTTTGGTTGGGTGGGCTGGACCTTGAGCACATGGACGTAGGCTTGGAGACATGTATGCTCCTGTCCCTTGTGTATCCTATTCAAGGGAATTGCTCTGGTGAAACTGTGTCCACACATTCACTCACATCTGTTCATAGAGCATAGTCATCTTCTGAGAGGTTTTAGTCAGTGGCCAGAGATAGGAAAGGCTATGCTGTATGAGTAAGTGTGAATGGATGTGAACTGAAAAATGAAAAATAAATACTGTCCAAGTCAAGTCACTGCATGGAAGGAGCTCTCCTAAACAGGGTGGTCCTGTAACATTGGTAACAGTTACTTACCTTGACCCACCACTGTGGCACTAAGTTTGGTCCAGCATGGGCATGGCTCTTGTGCAGAGGGGACATTTATGCCAACAAAGACAGCCTTCAAATAGGGGCTGAAATATCCGGGTCTGATCACAAATCTGAATCACAACTGTAAAGGTATGTGTACACTGAGAATAGTTTGTATTTTTATTTTTCAGTAAAGGAAGAACAAAAACGAGTCCGAACCAGTCCACACTTTGGATTTCAAAAACCCCTAGGAAGGACAGTAGCATGGAGGTATAATGATTTACTGACTGAAAGCAAAGCAAAAATAACATTTTGCAGTCGGGCTGTATTATAATGTCGTCTGAGAACATTAGCTTGGAATGGCTTGAAAATGCAAAGGATCTACAAGAATGAACTGTAAGCTCCCCCTTGAGGCAAATGTTCAGATCATTTTTATATAATGTTTGATTATTAATTCAGTAACAAAATATGCCATGCTAAATAAAGGGTATGTGTTTATTTTGCTAAGAGATGTAAGTCAGCTAGTTGTGAGTAATGAATTGAAAATGCATTTGAAATTTTTATGAGGACATATCTACAATGTATATCAATTTTAAGATAGATTGTTTGTAGTCAAACAAAACCTTCTTGTTTTCTTTAATCTCCTATGCATTGTAACCTAGTTGATGTACTGTACATGAAACTGACAATTTTGCAGTGTAACAATTATTTATCTTTGCATAAATGTTTGATACAAAATATTTGTTTAGTATTTATTTGCACACTTATGACAGTTTTTGATCCTCAGGCACAAATTACTTTTGTATACATAAATTATGCTTGCTGGCAGATACTTCTGCCATATTGCAACATTCATCAGCTATGACAAAATTCAAGGATTCAAAAGTGGTTTAATCTTATAGTGAATCCACTTTATCAGGGAGTGACCATCATATCTTCTTGATGTATTGGTCCAAGGTCAACATCAATCACTTGGCAAATGATAAAACAATAATGAAGTACCTTTGAATACAGTTCTTTTTACACTGGTTAAGCAAAATATTTTTAACTTTTTCTGAGAGAAAATACAAATTTCAGTAACCCAGTGGGCAAGAGTTTAAGAATAGAATTAGTTGTTTCAGTAAATCTATGTAGAGAAGACTTTAAAGATTATTTAAATATGGTTAATAGTTTTTTAGGAATAATGGATCAAAAGGAAGACAAATGGCTTTTCTTGGAAACAGCACTAAGAGATTGATCCCAGCTTTAATGAGGCTTAGCTAGAAGAGTGTTAATTATGTTAATTGGTAGATCTAGAGGTAACACTGATGCATTTAAAGTCCTTTATAAAAAAATATTACTAATATCATTAATGTTCATTCTCTTTGATGCCTTAAGAGCTTTCTGTGCTATTAGGATGACATCTCAGGGTGCTAGCAAAAGCACTCTAGCTGATTTGTTGGTGACAGTCTGGTGCTGTTTAAGAAAGGCTAACGGGTTTTACTGCAGTTTGCAGCGAGAGTTCAAAAGCACAAGTTCAAGTTTGTCAGGCTTTCCATTAATAGAAATGCTGGGTGGGAGCTGGGGAAGCTGGATAGAAGTGAGAGCATATTGCAGTTTGTGAAGCCTGCACTGTGATTGCTGATATTGACTATAGCTTCTGAAATTCATGGACAAATGTGTATCAATTTTTCTGAGTAAAGAAAAAAAAATAATTTAAATTCCAAAGCACTAATACTAGTTGTGCAATGCTATCGTTGCAACTCTTTTGGAGGCATCTTAAATTTGAAGTTATGCCATGTTTTTATTTCCTCTTTGAAGAAGCTTCCTCCTGTGGTTCAGGTCAAGCATTGCCATTCTTTCTTGCACTATTCTGTAGATTTTGTTTATTCACAACTTCCTTTATAATGATTAAAAATAAAACAAAAAATACTATGGTCCTGCATGATCATCAAGACCAGGGTTGTTTTTCTTTCCATGGCCTAAATGATGCTTAACTCACCTGAGGGCAAGAGCTTCATCTTCCTTGGGAATGTTTGGGGTAATCACAACTGGATCTTTATGGATTAACTCCTTCAAGAAAATAGGGGACGAAAGAGTGATGTTTAACCTAAAACTACAGAGTTGCCATCTCTTCATACTTTGTACTTCCAAATGACACTTGGCAGTCAATACTGTGATTGGTGCAGCAGAAGTGACAGGAGTCATTTCCATGCTGCAGTCAGGAGAATGCAAACACCTTCAGATGTCTTTCCAAAGGGGCAAAGGTGATTGCTGGGCATTTATCAGTGTCGGCCAATCTTAAATTATGTGAAGGAGGAATAGAAAATGGCATGCTATGGTTTAGTTATAATGAACTTAGATTTCACATATCAATAAGAAATACTGATTATTGGACAAAATATTTCTATATCATTTCACCAGTCTAAGAAGAAGGAATCTGTTTCCTTGCTTGTATTTTGTTTGCCTAGTATTGAGTTTCTAGATACCAGGTAAAATCAAAACAGTCTTAGAGTCCTCTGTAAAAGAGAGCGCAGACAATAAACTGTGCAGTCTTACATCAGTTAGTTCCACCTTTAAGGTGGTGTTTATTTTGCATGCACAACCAATAAATCCCATATGTACACAAATTATTTCATATTTATTTCCCTAGTTTTGCATTCCAAAGGGAGATAGGTGTAATAGTAAGAGAGGAAAGGAGGAAAAAAAAAAAAAGTGTTTCACATTTGCAGATAGAACATGTAGAACTTCATGCAGAATTCCTTTGGATTTATGGTGGGCTTAGATAATCCAGGAAAGCAGATTTTTATGTGACATAGTACATTAGTGAAAACAGATTTGCTGTTTAAAAAAACCCACAAATAACAATAAACACAAAAAAAGCTAAAAACTTTGTCCTTCATATTCATGAAGGACATTAAATCCTACAAACATTAAATTCATGCTACATTAAGTTCTACAAACTGGTGGAAGGAACAATTTCAGGTGACAGGTTTCATCATCCACAGCTACTTCAAAGCAGCTTGTCAACTACAGGCAGCTATGGGTCAGCTCATGCTGACCACATTCTTGCTTCTACCCTTAATCTCACAAATTGACGCAGGAGGTGTGAGACAAGGAATTGACGAAGAAGAGTAAAGATATAACTAGGCCTCAAATGGACATCATGACTTCAATTTGGCATTCTAAAAAAGCATTGTACTTCTTGCCTCCATTCCCCGTTTTCCTCAAGAAATGTAATTTTTCTTTTTTTTCCATAGTGATTCTGGCCTTTTGCAAGTATATAGCATTGCAGATAGAAAGCTCTTGTTGCTTCCTTCAGTCCTTTAATCTTTTCAGGTGCAAGTGTAAATCAGCATCAAGTTCCTATACCCTATTTTAAAATATCTCAGACCTTTTACTCAAATAAAAAATTATCCATGCTGCCCACATATATTAATGTATTAATGGCTGATTTCAACACAGGCTAATATGGGACAGGCATGCTAAAGTAATGGATGCTGAATGAAGGCTATAATGTGCTTGGTAAAGGTTATCCTGATATAAGTTGAAATAAAGTATTTATTTTTAATTATACTATCTAGTGGATGTTACATATACGCTTCTGGATAGAAGTTTACAATGGGAAATTTTTGAGTCCAGTGTGATAGTTTATTAATGTATATCTCGAAATCTATGCTTTGCATTTTGGGAAGCAAAAAATACACATAAATGAAAGGATATTACTGTATTTCTGGGAACCAGATCTTCTAGTAACTGAATCTGCTTTGATTTGGCTTTTGTATTTCATTAGCAGAATGAAATGCCATTTACAACAGTGATGTATTGTAAATATTACTGAATTCATGTCACATTTTAATTAAGTATTTTAATGTAATTGCTTCATCCACATCAATTTATACTTGATAGCAGAATGCACTTTATTTTCATTGGCTTTTTTCCAATGAAAGAGATGAATAGGAGAAAAAAGACTACTACTGAAGATAAGGTTAGCAGCTCTGAAATGTTAATCAAATGGTTTAGAAACGAATTCAGAATAAAATGAAATATCTTTAGTTAACTCGCAACAATGGCACTGTGTAGTTTGTATGAAAGAGTCTAAGATACTTTTAGTCTGCTCTCTGGCTTAATTACATCTGTCTGATTTATGGACACAGATATATTGATGGAACTGCACATTTTGGTCTGGACCTAATTCCTTGACATTTATGATGACCAAAAGACATTTTTTCTCAGTGACCATCAACCTGTGTTTGTAAGCTTGCCTTGTATTCTGAGCACTTCATATCTGCATTTAACATTGTGAATAACAAGTATGGAAGCTCCTTACAAAAATCATACATCTACGAGTACATGTGTAGATACATATGTGCAGTAAATTAAAATGCATTTTGTGTTTTCATGTATACTGTAGAATGAAAAAGACATTAAATTACTATACAATCTATAAGCAGAATTAAAGGACATATATCATATTACATTAACATTAAAACACCATTGAATTTAAGGTATTTCAATAAGAATTATTATAATAGAACTGCTTTTCTTTTGTTTGTTTTTACATATTTTATACCATTTGGACTTCTGTTAATGGGCATCAGGATAGAATCTATACAAAACACAAAATCATTATAGAGAAAGCATGAAATATCAAATGAACCCTAATTACATTTTATTCACCATGAATGACCGATCCTCATTATTGTCAGTTGTTAAACCATATATATGAGGGGAAGTGTAGTACTGCATGTTTCTACAAAGGTCCATGCAAGTATATATCTATAATTATTTGAATAATTACCAGAAGGTTTGCATGAAAGAAAAACTGAAAAGCAAACAAATTACACCAGAGATAATTTTTATGATCCATTCAGTTTGCTTGTTATAAAGCAGCATGATACATGATCAACCATTATTCACAATCTACAAACTTCATTTTAGAGCTTTTTGTAACAGGCAAGATAGGAGAACTCTCATGAGCCCAGTTTCAGATAACATATACCTTCATTTTGATATGTGGCAATTACTGAGAAGAATTGACTGTGCATTGAAATGAAAATGCACATTGGGAAATCATAAAAATAATTCACATTTATCCTGAAATTCACAATTTTTCTGACAATTTATCCCCAAATTAACAATTTAGACCATTTTTCATAAAGCATCTGTGGCTTTAAAAATCCTTCCTCCCTCCCTCTCCTTCTTCTTTCCTTCTTTCTGCCCTTCTTCTTTCCTTCCTCCTTGCCACACTTTAGAAAACCCTAACTACACATTTAATACAGTGGTGTTCATATAGACTGTTTTCCCATACCATGGACTGATGACTGATTTACTTCTTACATAAAGCAAACAGTAAACTGCTAAAACTATTAACAAAAGCATAAAATCTATCTCATTTGAAATATTCCTCTCAATTGATAAGGAAAGGAATTTTTATTTGTCAATGTTTTCCTTTCCTAAATTTGAAACCAGACTGCAATTTGAATCATTACTTTTTTTTTAGATTCCCTAATTATGAGTATTGAATGCCAGTCTGTACTGTATTGCTCTGCAACGGCTTAATTGCAGTCTTTAACTTTGATTTCTGTTGTTAAGGAAAATCAGGGTAGTAGATGATTTTTTGGATCCAGTCCACAAACATAGCGACCCGAACGTACACTCCTGGTCGTTGGGCAACTGCACACTTATAGCCAAATGATGTCACACCTACCAAAACCCATTGATTACCATCTTCAGACATCAGAGGGCCTCCTGAATCTCCCTGCAATATGAAATTCAAAAGTTAAAAGTGTACAATTGTTAATTGTTTATGGTATTTTTTGTAATTGATCCTTAATCATAAAAATTGCATCTTATCTTTTGGACATCAGAAACATAATCAGTGTGGAATCTTCTATACAGAAAAAAATCTTGAAATAATTCAACTTACTTTCTTTTTCTTTCAAGACTGCAATTTTAAGCTCCCATCAGTCTTCTAGATACAGGACTAAGTTTCAAAGGATTATTATATGAGGAATGCTCTGAAAGTATTGCCTGCTATTTTATTATGTTGGCCCAGGTTGACATCAGAAACAGATGTGGGTGATATGTCAATAAAGGCTGAACATTTCCACCAGTATTCTGTTACATTCTGTTACATTCTGTTGCATGTGACAGATGTCAGCAGAACATTCTGACGGAATGGTGTCTTACGTGGAAGTGTGGATGAAGCAAAGGAGTGTCATGGAGTTACTCCATGCGGAAAAAATGCCACCCACTGACATGCATTGATGGTTGCTGAGCATTTATGGAGACCAAAAAGGAGTCTTAGTACAGTGAAAGACTGTATGAGCAACATTTTCCTATCAATGACACTATCATAGCTGCTGTGAAAAAGTGGGCCACCTCTGCTGATACAAATTTTAATGAGCATGGAGTGCAGACTCTTGTTCATCACTGGCAAAAATGCAGAGCAGATGGTGGTGACTGTGTTGAAAACAGTGTTTTGTAGCTGAAAATTTGCTCTATCAAATAGTTTAATTGTGTCTATTGTATTTTCTATGAAAATATATAGGAGGCATTACTTTCAGAATGTCCTAAGTACATTTAACCCTTCATTTTCACAACTCCTGGATAAATGTGTAGCATTATTTTTTAGCTGAATCTATTTAGCTAAGAAGCAGTTCTATTTCTGTCCCTCCAGAATTTCGACAATTTCAAATTTAGAGGAAATGATGACAAGATTGCCAGAAGAGGAGGTGAGTTTTTCTGCCACCTCCTTCTCAGTAATTTAGGAATTACAGAATTGTAGTAGTCTGCAGGCATGTCCAACAAGCAGTCTGTGGGCTGCACATGGTCTGGCACAGCTTGTAATTTGGCAGGTTCTTCTGCCATGCCATTATGGCAGTGCTTCTGCCCTGCTGAGTGGCCCAACCCAGCCCTGGGACTGCCGATGGAGGGCACAGCACAGTGCTGACAAATAATATGGCATTGTGCTTAATTAGCAAAGAGATCATGTCAGCTTTCAAAGATTAGAATTTGAAAAGACATTATGGGCAAAAATGTGCTGCCAAATTCTGTGTATGTCAAAGAATGGTTCATAAAGACTCAATAGTGAAACTGAAAAAAAATCTGTCATCTCAACAACCTGAAAAAAAACACCTGAAAGCTCAAATGAATTCTGTTATAAAAGCTAGCAAATCTAATTGCAAAAAAATCAAAAGTTTTTATTGATGGTGAGTTTATTAAGCAATGTATGGAATGCATGGCTGATATAATGTGTCCTGATAAAAAAACAGATTTGTCTAAAATCAGTTTATGTCAGTTTATGTCAGTACTATCAGTTTATCAGACCATAGTCAGGCAATCTGAAGAAACATAAATATCTATTGAACAAAATTTGCTAATTTCCCTTTTTTTTTTTCCTTTGGCTATAGACGAAAGTAGCGCTGCTACAGATATGGCTCAACTTGCAATTTTCATTAGAGATACTGATAATAAACATGATGTCACTGAAGCAATTGCTTCTTTGGTGTCATTGAAAGACACAGCTAAATCTCTTTATTTGTGTGAAGCAGTAAAAAAAACACGTTAAAGCAATTTTCTTTAATTTTTGTCAACATATCTGGTATATCTACTGATGGTGCCCCGGTAATTGTTGGTAAAAAAAATAAACTTATAAAATTATTAGAAGATCATGCAGTTTCCACTGGCAACTCACTTTTGATGAAATATCACTGCATTGGACATCACAAAAATTTTATGTGTGAAAGCTTTACAAATGGACAGTCTTGTGCAAATCATCATCAAAGCTGTGAATTTCATAAAGTCCAAGGGATGGAATCATTGCTAATTCTAGGAATTCCTTAGGAGTAGGGATGTTGACTTACGGGTCATCACTTACTTTTCTAAAGGAAGATGGCTAAGTTTGGGTAAAATACTAAAAAGACTTCATGATTTTCAAAGTGAAGTCAAGTCCTTCATGGAATCAGAAGGAAGAGTTATGCCAGAACACGAAGACTAAAAATGGCTCACAGATTTAGCATTTTTGGTGGATTTTGGTGCTCATTTAAATTAGTCAAACATGTGTCTTCAAGACGTATATCAACATATCTGTGCTGCATTTCAAACCATAATAGCATTTGAAATGAAAGTTATGGCAAGCTCAAATTACGGCAAATTATTTCATGCATTTCTATACACTGGCTAAATACAGTCCTGTGAACAGTGAAAAATATGTGGATGTGCTTTCCATTTTGAGAGAGTTTTAGGAATAGGTTTCCAGATTTCCAAAAAAAATGATATATTTTTTTTTGTATATTGTGACTCTACTTTCAGATTACATAAGTACATTACCTGCAAATTTTCAATGAAATATACAGAGTTACAATCAGACCTTCAACTCAAAGTGAAATGTGGTCATGTCTCTTTATCAGGCTTTTATAAGGCCCGTTTTATCCAATAAAAATAGATCTCACTTCACAGTCATGCCTTGTTCATGTCATCGCTTTTTGGCAGTAAGTACAATTGTGAACAATTATTGTCAAGGATGAAGCACAGGAAGGGTAACATTTCATAAAAAATCTCTGATGAGCACCTTGAGAACTCACTAGGAATGCCAGTCACTGCCCTTGAACTAGACTGATGCATTAATTTCACAAAAACAAGGGCAAACATCCTATTAGTTTTGTTTTATGTTTTTGTAGTGTATTTTAACATTTTAATAAAAAATACATTAAAAATATTTCTTGTTACTTATTTATGTTTACTTTATTATATATTTTACATGTGGCCCATTACATTCCTTTCTGCTTATTGTGGGCCAGGCAAGTCAGAAGGTTGGATACCTATGCAATAGAGTGTGGGGACCAAATTTTATTCATTCTACTGCCTGAGTAGCTATGAATGTCTTGCTTTGATGAGAAAGAAAACAATGATTATTTTTTGTTGTTTGGTTTGAAGCAGGTTAATTCAACTAGTATTATTGTTGTCTTTTCATGGCCCTATGAAGAGAGCTTTAGGGGAGACTTCTGTGGGAACTCAGTCATTAAAATACTTCTGTCTATAACTCTAGGGCATCCACAAAAGTTCAAAGGCTGTGACAGCAGCCTAGAGGACAAAGTAGTATCAGGACTCGCTTGCTCCTCTTTGCTTATGGTTGAATGGTCATTGATCACAGTGCTGGTCACTTGTGCTCTGTATCAACTTATAGTGCTACAATTTTTTTTTATTATTATTTTTTTTTTTTTCAGTTTGAGGGATGAAAAACAAAAAGAGATGAGGAATCACAGACATTGAGAAAAAGGCAAATCAAATAGGCTTGCATACATTCCTGCTTGACTAACGTAGCCAAACTCACTGTGCATGATAAAGATTTAGGGTTGTGATAATAAAGTAAGAGGAGTTATGTGAGGATGCTCCTTATCAGATCTGAGGAGAACCAGTCTCCATGCCATGGACTCCACATTGCTGGAAGAAAGATTAAGTGTTGACCAACACTGTGCTCTTAAAGAGAAGTGTTACATAATGAGCAGAGATAGAATGGACAGACGTGAGAAACAGCCCCAGGAAGTAGCCTGTAAGATAAGTGCAGAAAGGCAGCTTCTCCAAAATACTGTGGTGTCCACTTATGAAATGTTTCTAAAGCCTACATATTCTGGGGAAATAAATCATTGCTCTACCCCTTTCACCGTGAGAAGCATTTTTGAGATTTTTTTGACCTATTTGTTATGCATTTCTCTGTACCTTACTTTTTGCTAAAAGTCTTCCTCCTTCCTCAGCAGTAATTATTCAAAGCTCAGTGCATAAAACATCCAGTCCACATATTTATCTCCTTCCACTGTTGTTTGCATTGAGATCATACAAAATCGACTTTTATCTTTACAACATGTATTCTGATAAAGAGCTAAATATTGAGCATAAAAATAATATTCATAGACAGTGACCATCTGGTCTTAATGACTGGAGTATCAAAGAGCACTTTACTCCATAATTAGATGTGCTATGTGCTAGCAGGGAGAATTAGCCATTTATTCTTACCTGACAGGAATCTACACCTCCCATGTCATAGCCTGCACAGATCATATTCTCAGTAATAGTATATTCTGGCAACCATTCCTGGCATTTTTCATTTAAAATGAGAGGAACCTCTGCTTCTTGCAGTATATTTGAAGTGGGACCTGATGAAAATACAGAGTACATTTACGTGCTGCATTAAATATGTATAACGTGTTCAGAACACTGATAGCTTTGTTCTTGTTCCAACATGTAGGCATGTTACTGAACAGCAGGAAGCCCTGCCAGACTACTGTATTATTCAGGTTTATGCCCCTGTAACACAATCACTGATTAAATGGTGCTCATTAACTGAATCCTGTCTTTCATTTGCGTAATGGGACTGAATTTGGTTGTAATTAAATGAAAGTTACTAAAATCAATGACTATGAACTTACTGTAGAGAGATCTAAGAGCTTATTAAAGGCTTAGAAGCTTGGATTTTCCAGTGTTTCCACACTATTCATTGCGTATCTTTGATTGCATTTATCTAGTTTTTATAAGCATTTCTATTACAAGTTCTTACTTAAAACTTTAAATACAATTCTACTCTGAAAATATGGATACAAATATGTACAAGCAACCATGAAAATGAATTTGCATGTTTATTATTTTATAAAGACTCCAAATTTGGAGCATGTGATATAGAAACAGAAAGTACGTTTCACACTACACTCAGTATTCTTGGCTTCTGGGGAAAATAATTTGAACACTGTCAGAAACATGAATCTTTGTTCTTTCTGATCCCTTCATCTCCCCAATTATCTGGAAATAAGATGTTCATATTCTGTAAATTGAGAAAAGTAGTCCTCATAACTACTAAGGAGATGCAATAAGTTCTTTTATTAATTTAATGATTGGAGATGTATATATTTTTTCTAATAAATATGTTGTAACTTTATTTCTTTAGAGAAGAAATGGTGGGGGAGTGGAATAGTAGAAAACTTTTCTCTAGAAGGGCATATCTCTAACCTGTTTGACCTTAGCAGCTTCTGTGGAATCAGGTGCAAATTTTCCCAGCATAATTTACCCACCTTCATATCTAATAGCACCCCAGCCAGCAATGGAACAGTTAATTCCTGGTAGAAACTGTTGATTTTCTTGCGGTAAGCAGATAGGTTGTATGTAATCTGTGAATGCAAAATAAGCAATCAATTTCCATCTCTTTTCTTTATTCTGTTTTTTTTTTTTTTTTTTTTTTTTTTTTTTTTATGAAGTCACAAAAGAAAGTATTCATTAGTTCAAATTCATTTTTGGGACACAATAACCAGGAAGTAGTGAATGAACTCAAGAATAATTAGACTGTACAAAATGTACAGCCATTCATTCCATCATGGTTAGCATATTTAGGGTTTAAGCAATATATACGTTTTGTGGAAAAATACAAACTCACTTACTTACCTGTATATTGAACTTTGTTCTGAAGATGCATCAGAGCAATATCACTGTCTTTTGTAAGTTTGTTATAGTGAGGATTTATAACTATTTGATCAATGTTTTGAACTACCGTTAAAGTGTCTGTCATATTCGACTGGTCATATAAGCCAAGAACTGCTTTCCATGTAGATGGTTGTAATTGCCTCCTGGAAGTTGCAAGGAATATTCATAATTATGAATGATTAATAAACATTCTGAAAAATATGTTAGATAAAATGCTAATCTTTAAACTCATTATAATAAGTAGCATGCTCTCATTTTCCCCTCAATTAATAGGATAATGTAGTAGATGTCCATACAATTTTGTGGTAGTTATATTATCTTAAACATTCATACTGTAGTATGTGATTGACTTTTGATTTTAAGCTTATATGCGTTATTTAGAAGAATTAATCATAGAGCTGTGTAGTGGAATAAGATACATTAATTAAATCACTATGTCTTTTTTTAGCATTGGAAAGAATACTGCTGACTGCCCACAATGCAATTAGCATTGGTCCTAGTTAGAAAATTATGGAACTATCTGAAGAATAATAGATTACAATGTTGTAGTAGAAAGTACTTCAGCTCACTGACTCAGAAAATTGGTCCCTTAGTTTTTTATCTAAGTTGAAAAAAATATGTTCAGACAGCTATGGCATAAATCTACATGCTTGTTTTTTTGTTTTTGTTTTTGTTTTTTTTTTTGCTGAGCCATCTATGCTGGTTTGAAACTAAGCTTTCTGAGGTTTGTAAGCTAGTGAACACATGCATTTGCTAGTTTTTTAATCAAGTTCATTTTTATTCTAAAACATTATTTCAGTCTGCTTGATGTATGGAATTGGTTTCTGTTTATCTTTTTGACTGACATCTGGAGGCTACCTTGTTCTAAATCAGAATTTCAGTTAAATATTCAGAATTAAGAGCTAAAAATATAAACTGTTGCTTAAAGGAAAAACTCCAGCAAATTCAACACAATAAAATGATATCTAAGTGAAAATAGAAATGTGAAACAGGTGAAAAGGAAGCACCAATGTAAGTGTGGATTTATCATGTGCAAACTAACATGGCTTGATCCCCCTCATTTCAAGGGCTTTGTGTGGAATATACTCCTGTAATGGAATGAGGAGTCATTCTTACACTGGCATAGCTTCCCCAGTATTATTATTTAGCTATTCATAATGAAAAATCTACTATAGTTTTGAATAATAACGTTTGTCTTTTGCTATTGCAGTTTCTGAGTGTCTTCTTCAGTACTAGTTTCTATTACAGACGTTATGGAAGCAAATCTTAGAAAATATTTATATGCATCACTTTATGGTACAAACAATGCTATCTGGAGGACATTGCAATATTGCCTGATCAATATTTATGAATCAAGGTTCATTCCAATTATGCACAGTAGATCTTGATCAATCTGTGATACTTAACAGGTAGAATGGGAAAAAATGAATTTACCTTTCTTAGATACTTAATCCTTTAACCACTACATACCATCTTCTAACCACTAACAGAGATTCCTGTGAGTAATGGAGGCCCACACTGCTTATAGGTAAAGTAAAAATGCTCAGTATTAATACCATGTATTTTAAATGTTCATTGCTTGGAAAATGGCTCTTGGTTTCTATGACTGTCTGCTTTAAAATAAGGACTGAGGATTTACTTGTACGTAGCAGAGCTTTACATGATTCAAACATAGTAATTTAACAGTGAAGTAGTTATTAAGTTTTTATATTAGAATCACAAATTATTAATTATCTAATACATCCTTAGTCAATCTGCACATAAAGCAAATGTTTCACATGCTTTCTTAAAATGAAAAAGACATGGTATGGATGTCATCTGCCCATCTCAACAAGTCAGCAGGATGCCCTGCAGTCAGTGGAGACAAAGATGCATTTGTGAATCTGTAATAATTTCATTTCAAACATCTAAAAATTACCTCCTACCAATGGTTTCAGTACGATCCTTTAAAAGTGCGATTTGCTCTGTGATTGACCAATGACTCAAGATTATACTTCAGCCCAACTTCACTGACAGATATCCACCATTTAGGTACTTGCATGTTGTGATAGCATCAGAATGCATTAACTTATGAGTACAGCGAAAGTTACCCATATACACAGTGTGCTGCTGTCACCAGCCATTCCTCATTGACAAGGGAGGCTCCACAAACGGGTCTGGAATTAAAACGGAGTGAGACAATCCAAGGCCAAGCCTCTCTTCTGGCATCACTTCCACCTACAATCCTTGTTCCTTTGTTCTCAATTTCCAGGCGTTTTCCACAAGCTAAAATAAATGCATATATGTATTTTAAATAAATAAATGCAAATTTCTAGAAGAACATGGTATGCTTTATTTGAGTAGCTAAATTCTTGGAAAAATAGTCTTGGTACTACCTGACCTGCTATTCAAAAATATTATTACTGTGGAGAAAAGTTTGCCATTTTATAGCTGAAATCAAGATGCAACTTTGTAACTTGGATTTAGATGTTTTATATCCTCAGATCTTAAATTTTTGTATATATTTGCTTTCAGTATTGACCCGTCTCCAGTGTATACTTAACTCTGAAAACAAGTGAAGATTGTAAATTTTGCTGTGTTTACATCATTACAAGCATGGCTTTTATAGTCCATTTCCTAACCTTTCAATTCAAACTATAAACATTAGGCTTTATGGACTGAACAATCTGATTTCTATGTGAAACATTCCCAGGGTAAATGTACTTACGTTTAATGTTACACTGCAGATGAATCACCAGGTTGTTTAAACAAAGTTCTCTAGAAGGAAAGTATAATTAAATCACAAGTATCTGCATACCAAGTAACTCTTTCATATATATAAATGTACATTAGCTTCATTCATGACAGATTCTAAATAAAACTGTAACTGCATACTGCATTTATTTTACCTTTTGAGAAGTTTTAATAACTTACCACTAGAGATCAGTGTAACCAAAGTATTTTGAAATGGTTAGTTCGATATCACTGCATTTTTTTTACTAAGCTTACAGTGCGCAATAAAATATATAGCTGCATATAGAGGGGAAGGAATTATTTAGCAGAGATATAAAGCCAGAGCCTGAAGAGCATGAAACCGCAGATCAAAACTACTCAAGCATTTCTGATACCTAGAGGTTTTAAGATTATCTTCATAGCTTGTAATGAATCTGAACACTTGGGACAGTGTGTGTGCTAGCAATTTAAATTGGATACACAGAAATATATCAGAAAGAAAAAAAAAGTCAGCTAAGGGCTAGGTCACAGTATGCATTTCCACTTCATTTTTTCAAAGAGATAAAAGGAAGCATTCTTTAAGCAGAATATAGCATTATGCATCCCTCACTATGGTTGCACTAAAATTTGGCATTTTTTGTGAGAGAAATAATGAGTGACAGCCCAGCAAGTGAGAACATGTAACCTTCCCCTCCATCCCTGTCTAATTAAATCTTCATTATGGTGAGTGTAAGAGGGTGAAATATGCCTCCAGCTCTGTATTGTATCATACAAACTAGCCAATCTAATACTCAGCTTGTCAGATTTGTTTTTTTTTTATGTTGAAATTGGGGTCTATCTCCCACCATCGGTACCTACTGATTGCTTAGTAGAAGGTACTTTATGGGAGTCCACTTTTTTGTCTATTTGGAGTAAGTTTCCAGTATGAAAACCATTTCCTTGCCTGCATTTCAATTTATCAGTCCTCAGTTACCCCTTGGTTAGCTCGGAGTCCAAAAGGCAGTAGAGTCACACTACATGTGCTAAATACCTATCCTATGTAACTCTGTGAGAATTATCTGTGAAGGAGCATGCTGGGAATAAATCTTAAATCTATGAGTATGGTCTCACTTAGGAATGGCAAAAAAAAAAAATGCCTGTAGCATCTGCTCATGTGTATCTTCAAAGCAGAATTTTGGCCCATACAAAGCAATTCTGCCAAGAAATCCATTACCTAATGGCATCAGAGAACAGTTATGCCGTTTCCATACTACAGCTTTCAGGTATCTGTATGACCCTTTACATTCATGGCAGTTACTCTTGAAACTAAGACCAAAGGCAATGTGAGAAGTAGCTTTTTAAAATTTGATTACCAATTTGATTTTTTAATTATCAAATCTATGTGATCATTCTAACATATACACAACAAAAGCATGTGAGACTTTAATGGTGTTACCCTGTAAAATGATTCCTATCAGTTTTCTAGATGAAGAATATCTATCTAGATACCCATTTCATCAACAGAAATACAACTAAGATTAATGAACTTATTCCATTCACTCCTGCATCAACTATCTTTAACTGTTTAAGAGATATTAACAGAAGACATCTTTAAATTACTGCTGTTGTTTAAGATCTCTTGTGGTTATCCTTATTTAGACATGTAGTCAAGAAAAACATGAAAAGTAACTTGCAGTATCTCAATTGTAAAATATCCTTTCGCCACCAGTAAAAATGATAAATGTTGGGATTAACAGAGTATAACTGGAACAAACAATGGATTTTTTTTTTTTTTAAAGAAATAATACAGCATACCAAATTAAGAGTTCTACCCGCTTTGCTACCATGTGGTGTGCTCATAAAGGAAACCTGAAAGAACATGGACTCTTGACATCATCCACATCATTTCATCATTTTAGCAATTATACAGTAATTTTCTGCGTCGATGCTTGTAGTAGGATTCCAGGATAATGTTTGTTACAAACCTTCTTATAAGCAGAAACTCAGTAACTGAAGTCATTATATAATGTTTTATTTGATGGTGGCAACCCTTTCTACTTTGTAGAGGTATACTTAAACACGGTATTTCCTGAGAAAGTAATCCTGGGCAAACATTATATTTTCATTTAATCTACAAGAAACACTGACTGACAGTTTGTACGACTTTTCAGAATCACTTCAGGTGTTATTTGGACTGAGGAAGATAAGGATGTAATGCATTCCAAGGATCATTTCATCTAATGATAAATATGGAGACACGACATGAGAATGACACGTGGAAACATTTTTTGAACTAAATTAATTTGTCTAAACATAGATAGAGCTGTTGTCCTATGTGTCTTATCAATAAACTCAATGGATTACAAAATGTGATTCATCTTATTCCAGAAAAGATAGCTAGACAAATTAGAATTTGGAAATACTTTTTTTTCTCTGTTGATTTTAGGGAGAACCAAGAGTGAAATTCATAGTTTAGAGATCTCTAGATAAGAAACATTTTATAAATAGCATTTTCAAACAAAATGTGCATGTAAAAAGAAATGTAAAAGTAACAGTATTAATAATTTTCACAATAAATATATAAAAATATTGCATAAAATTATACCGAATGCTAAAAATACATCAAGCATCTCTCTTATTTAAGATTTGTAATAGGCAAACAAGAATGGAAGGTGGAAAAGTGAACTGCACAATGATACATACAATTCAACAGTGGACACAGAATAAGACCTATTTCTATGGTCCAGACCTCATACAGAATCACATTAGTCTTCAGATAAACTTAAGCTGGAAATTATTGTATAAATCATAGTCACTGCACTTGCATTTTTCCTTAGTATGAGGAAGCAACCTCACTCTACTCACTTTTTTGTAAATATTAGGCTCTGATTAGCTACTTCAGTGACGTCGACAAATGGACCATCTCCAGTGAATAATACAGTTGATGACATATTTGAATTCCTGGAAGGAAAAGACACACATAGGTACTTTTAGAAATTTATCCTGTTTTATTGGTGGAGGACTGTCTGGGAAATGACGATGTTTGTGGAATTATCTGGAGATGTGTGAGGATTAAAACTTTCACAGATTAAAATGTGACTTGCCTAACTTCATTCACCTTATCCTAAGAACTCCAGTGCTACAATGGAGAGAAAACAATTATTTTAATGAAAGTAAATTATGAGTTTATCCTCTTTTGTGCCACAGTGAATGGTTTGCAATACTGATTCTTAAATATATGGAGACAGATTGTGGTGGTATGGCAATAAAGACTGAAGCTTCTTGACAGTATCCCATTATATGTTGTATCCCACTATATGTTATATCCCATTATATGACAGTTGGCAGTAGAGGGGCAATCTGACAAAATGGTGTCTGGCATGGAAGTGTGGATGATATGAAGGTGTGTCGTTAAATTTCTCTATGTGGAAAAAAATGCCATCCATTGATATTTGTTGACTCTTGCTGAACGTTTATGGAAACCAAACATCGGATGTGAGCAATTCCAAGTCACAGCTCTTAAATATTCCTTGATTCAAGGCATTATCCAACACATACATATGGTGTACTCAAGACAAAGTGTTCTAATAAGATTGCTTTGCTAGAACTGATTAGCATTCAAAATACAGTTAGTTTTTAATTGGAGGGAATGATAGTGGAATATTATGATAGATTTTAGCTCTAGTAATCTAGCTTCTTATCATTTCAAAAGGAAGAAAGATTAACACCATGGGCCAGATCCTAAAGGTGATGTGTAATTTGAGTTTTCACTGGGGATCTACTGTTAATGAAAATGATTTATTAGAAGTATTGAAGGCTATGACAAAAATGGCCTTAAGGAGGCTAATCTACGAATTAAGCAGCCCTCACTAGCCAGAATTTACAGAATAATTTTGGATAAGTTTCTTACACACAGATCTACAGAGGTATTTACGGTTTCAGTCTCTATCTATGTCCCTGATATGATCAGTAACAATAAGCAGTACCAAATGTTAGAAAAGATTCAAATGAAGTGGTACATTTCTTAATAATTATTCGGAATAATATTGCCATTTGTTCAATAACTACAATTTTTTCTCTTATCTAAAAAAATAAAAATAAAAATCCACATGCTTATTTGAAGAAAATATATTTACAGATTTTTCATTCTATTGTTTAATTTTCAGGCTGCAGGATAATTGTAATTTGTTTTATTTATGCTTAAGTCACAGGGTAGTGTTTCTGCTTTGTCCACTGATTTTATGAAATAAAATACATTAACAGTAAGAGGATAAATACATTAACAGTAAGAGGAGGACAAAGGAGAATATCCACTCTTTGCTGGATGAGGCTGGGAATGTGACCACTGAGGATAAGGAAAAGGCAGAGGTTCTGAATGCCTTCTTTACGTCTGTCTTTAAAAGTCAGACCAGTTATCCTCAGGATACTCCTCTCTCTGACCTGGTAATCTCAGCTGGGGAGCACACTAACCCCCCTGTGATTCTGGAGGAAACAGTCAGAGACCTACTGCTCCAACTGGACTGCCACAAGTCGATGGGGCCAGATGAGATCCACCCAAGAGTGCTGAGGGAACTGGCGGAGGTGATAGCCGAGCCGCTTTCCATCATCTGTCAACGCTCCTTGTTGACTGGTGAGGTCCCAGATGACTGGAGGCTTGCCAATGTGACTCCCATTTACAAGAAAGGTCGTAAGGAGGATCCGGGGAACTACAGGTCTGTTAGCCTGACCTCGGTGCCAGGGAAGGTTATGGAGCAGATCGTCTTGAGGGAGATCATGCGGCATGTGCAGGGTGACCGGGGGATCAGGCCTAGCCAGCATGGGTTCGTGAAGGGCAGGTCCTGTTTGACCAACCTGATCTCCTTCTATGATCTAGTGAACCATCTGGTTGATGAGGGAAAGGCTGTTGATGTGGTCTACCTAGACTTCAGCAAAGCCTTTGACACTGTCTCCCACAGCATTCTCCTGCAGAAGCTGGCAGCCAGAGGCTTGGATGGGTACACTCTTGGCTGGGTAAGGAGCTGGTTGGAGGGCCGGGCACAGAGAGTGGTGGTAAATGGAGTCAAATCCAGCTGGCGACCGGTCATGAGTGGTGTTCCCCAGGGGTCGGTGCTGGGGCCTGTCCTCTTCAATATCTTTATTGATGACCTCGATGAGGGCATCGAGTGCACCCTCAGTACATTCGCAGATGACACCAAATTGGCTGGAAATGTGGATCTGCCTGGGGGTAGCGAGGCCCTACAGAGGGATCTGGACAGGCTGGAGAGCTGGGCTGAAGCCAATGGGATGAGTTTCAACAAGGCCAAATGCCGGGTCCTGCACTTCGGCCACAACAACCCCAGGCGACGCTACAGGCTTGGGGCGGTGTGGCTGGAGGACTGCGTAGAGGAAATGGACCTGGGGGTATTGATTGATGCTCTTCTGAACATGAGCCGACAGTGTGCCCAGGTGGCCAAGAAGGCCAGTGGCATCCTGGCTTGCATCAGAAACAGTGTTGCAAGCAGGAGCAGAGAGGTGATTGTTCCCCTGTATTCAGCACTGGTGAGGCCGCACCTCGAGTACTGTGTCCAGTTTTGGGCCCCTCACTGCAAGAAAGATATTGAGGCCCTGGAACGTGTTCAAAGGAGGGCAACAAAGCTGGTGAGGGGTCTGGAACACAGGCCATATGAGGAGAGGCTGAAGGAGCTGGGAATGTTCAGCCTGGAGAAGAGGAGGCTCAGGGGAGACCTCATTGCTCTCTATAACTTCCTGAAGGGAGGTTGCAGTGAGCTGGGGGTCGGCCTCTTCTCTCGTGTCATTAGTGATAGGACCAGGGGGAATGGCTTCAAGCTACGGCAGGGGAGATTCAGGCTGGACATGAGGAAGTATTACTTTTCAGAAAGGGTGGTCAGGCACTGGAACGGACTGCCCAGGGAGGTGGTGGAGTCACCGAGCCTGGGGGTGTTCAAGGAAAGACTGGATGTTGTGTTGAGGGACATGGTTTAGTAGGAGCTATTGGGAATAGGTGAACGGTTGGACTGGGTGATCTTTTAGGTCTTTTCCAACCTTGGTGATTCTATGATTCTATGATTCTATGATTCTATGACAAACAGGAAAACAATTCTAAAGAATTGTAGCAAATTGTCAACAGTGAACACTTTCTTTAGTATAAAAGAAAGGCTTTGTTCACATGTGGATTCATATGAAGAACAACTATTTCCTAACTGCTGATGTGCACACAATATTTTTATAAGAAATCATGCAAATAGAAAATAAAAATAACCTCTCTAGGCTTTCTCGATTTGAAAAGAAGCATCTTATAAGAGGGGTTAAACAAAGGTTGCTCTCAGTTTCTGAACGTGAGTGAACCTGAAAATCTCCAAAAAAACCTGAACATGAAACTTCTCTTGTGGCTTCCAGGTGACAACTGACATGACATTAAGTCTATCACCAAGCTATCAGGACAGTTCTCATTCTGGCTGCAAACATGGCCTCAATACACTGAGGAACAGGTGCTTTTCTACATCCAGTCAATGACTTTTATAGCATTTTGCCACACTGGAAAGCCTGAGTCTGGCAGTCAGAAGTCAAAATGATTTTATCTGGTATTTCTAGTAGCTAGGCATGTAGCTACTACTACTGACCGTTTACTAGTGGAGTAAATGAAAATGTAAGTGACCTGGGCATCTCAAACATGACATTTTATTTGTTAGTTAATTTTCAAGAATTTTATGAGTTCATGAATAAAACAGGCTGCAGGTCTGCCAACATTGGTCCTAAAGAAACAAATGTATTTGAAACCAAACAAAGGAAATGGTGGAAAGTTCAGTGTCTGAACTGATGGCTCGAAGAAAATCAATGCTAATAATGACAACAATAATCAGGCATGGCAGTGTCGTGCATACGGTCACAAAGCACATACTGAACAAAGGATCCTTCTTTAGGTTTCTCAGTTCCACCACTCCATGCACCTTTTTCTCTGGACTCACTTTTGTGTATTTGTGTATTTGTGAATTATTTCCCTAACCTATATTTTCGTAGATGCACACATGGCCATTGCTCTAGATTTGCTTGTTTGGTACATATCACAAATACAACAGCTGCGTACTTGAAGAATGGAGGCAAAAGGATTCTGATGTGTGATATACTAGAATCTATTTGAACATTACACTTTCTAGCTCAGCTACATAAATAATCATCATATGCTACAGGGCATCTTTTCACTCCTTTTCATAAAATAAACAGTAAATGTATAAGCAGTTAATAGCAAAAGTAAATAATCTAGATTAACCTTAGCCTCTTTCTCTGATAATTCCAGGTAATTATTCAGTAGAGCAGCATGAGATACAGCCTATCAAGGACCTGCCATTACAAACATTCATTTACTAACAAACATGGTGCTAATCGTTAACAAATACGCTGCTACAAGGAGATAGATTCAAAGAAAGTATAAATAGTGTGATATTTAAGGGATTTCTATATTTGTGTGTAAGTTTCATTCTGCTATCAGGATTTTTAACAGAAGTAGCACCCAGGATATCAGAGGTGATGCAATTTAGTTATAAAAACACTATTTTTTAAAAAACAATGTGAACAGGTAAAAATCTGAGCAATGGAATTAAAAAGAACTAACCAAGAAACTTAAAAGAATTTTTTTGGACAGGAATATTTGACATTATTGTAGAGACAAACTCTAAAATACATTAATACAGAATGTTATTGAGACAACAGCATAAGTAATTTTAAAATGTTAATAGAAAGTGTCATGGAAAACAAAGTTCAGTGAAGCCTATCAATTATTTAAATATAAACTAAACCATTAGACCACAAAATGACTAGTATTCAAAAGTTATAGAGGAAAAAGAGGCAATGACAGGCAGGGAGGGAGAAAGAAGGAGAGGAAGAAGGCTAATGGCCATTGTAAATGGATGAGGCATCTGACTCAAAGAAAACTTAGTCATACTTTCTGTGTCCCTATATACATGCATAAAAAAGATAACATTTTGTCTTTTTTCCTAGCCCTCTTTACTTTGCCATTTCTACAGTTAATTTATGAAACAGGCATTTGCAGGCATCTTACTTTTGTTGGAGAGCAACATAATAAACTGCAAGCTAAGAATTTTATTTGATTATTACTTGAGTAAATTACATTCTCTAAAAACCTCAGCACTGTAGGAAAGACATTTATTATTCATTGGATGGCAGTGAAATTTCATACAGTGTAAGTGGGGCCAGAATTCGGGCCATAAATTTCTGTAAAAATACAACACTTCTGCACTAAACTCTCCTCGCCTCTTCCCTGGAAATTCCGCTGAATAGCAGCAACTGAAGACAAATCTGCTTTTTCAATCATATGCTTCCCTCCTTCCTCCAGCTGCAAACACACCTCGAGTGAAATAGTTTCCTACCCCAACAACTCATGTTTAATGATAGGTATGAAATGTATTGGGAGCCCAGATACAGGATACTCAAGTGGTTATCTTTAATTTACTTGAAATGAACATCAGCATGACAGTAAAGTAGCCAAGGATCCTGTTTTCTCAAGATTTGATTTTGTGCTGTTCTCGCAAAAATGAAGGCATAAATGATGACACAGTGATAAAAGACTAATGCTTTCACATGAGACTCACAGTGTTCTCCAACATGTGTACTCATATTTAATCTGCTGTTTCCAGAGTTAGCAATACAGTGATGAATGATGTAAAAATAAGCATTGTGACACGTACAAATTTGTTCACTGATTTGGAGCTTCATTTACTACAGAAAAGTATATTTGTTTCGGTTTTTATGGATGGTAACAATACCACTAAAATGATGAGAAAAACACAAATTCACAAACTCAGCAAAACTTCAAACAAGTTACAAGAGCATTTAATATTTTCACTCACCCTAATCCCAGCTGCTGGCAAACACTGTCTGAAATCTTTTCATTCCAATCAGCTGCACATGCCAGGTGCCATACCTTCCCGATCCTGACCTGTACCAGTCCTTCAGTGCTTGCAGAACCATTAAGCAATCTCACTGAAGACCAAAATGGACAGAAGCATTTTAGATAGGTGATTAAAATTCAAAGGAAAACCACCCCCAATGAAAAACAAGGCAGTATGCACAGATTTATTATTGCTAGCAAAGAACAAAAGAAATAAAGATGTTAAGATGCACTACAGCAGTAATAAACCCAGCATGTTCAAGATATTGCATTCCTATGGGGAAGAAACATTATCTTCTTCTATATTTCTGCCACAGGACAGTTTCATAGCTTGTATTTTGCAAGTGTCTTGTGAAAAGACAGCAAATAGTACATTTTCCATCTACTCTAAAAAACATTTATTCTTAGCCAGCACTATGTAATTTACAACTGCTTGTGAAGTTTTAGCTATACAATGGTCAGTAATGATAACTGGAAATAAAGTTTTAAAACAGAGCTAACTGAAAAATAGGATTATCCAGTTTCAGTTGCTATGAGAACTTTTGCTTTCACTGCAGCTTAAGTTAAAATAATAGTAATAGCAATACATTTCTCTGAAAACCAGTATTTCCATCAAAAGTTTTCCAAAAGACAGTGTTCAGAAAAAAAAAATTGTAAAACCATCAATAATGTGGTGAAAAAAATTATGCTATTGGCATGGTGAGGAAGTTGGAGTGGAAGGTCAACAGAATTATGTCTATAGCATGAGCTAAAACTGCATTTGAAACAAGTAACGGTTATTGCCAGCATGAAGTAAGGAAGAAAAAAACACAAGGTATTTGTAATTTACTGGTTACTGATTTTTTAAAATAATACTAGCTCTCCAGAAAACTATTTTCCACTGCTTTTTCCCTAATAATTAAAGCCTTCCTATAAACTAACAAACAAACAAACAAACAAACAAATATTTAGGAATGCCTCTTTGAAACTCAGAGCACATGAATGAAGTGACATATGGGAGTAGATTAATGGTAAACTTCAATCATGCTAGATTTTGGAGTACTATTAAAAATCTCAGAATTGCATGCAGTTTGAGATTTCTCCAAATTATTTTTGACACTTTTCCTCTCTCCTACTTGAACTATAATTCCTCTTCCTTTCTCCTCATCACTTCTACATTCATCTCCAAACACACTTCTGTTAAGCCATAAAAGACTTACCGAGCACTCAAAAGTTTAATTCAAAATTTAATTCAAAAGTTCATATATTTTACTACTTTCCATATGAAGACATATGTTATGTTTTCCCTTTGCTGCCCATGGGGAGTTTCAAAAGTTGGAAGTATTTGAAAATGCCAGTTTGTCAAGTTTAAAATGGCAGGTATGATAAAAAATTGAAATTCAGGAAAAGGAGCAAGTATTTTGGACACTGAAAAGACTCAATGTGATGGTGTCTAATTAAATTTTCATTTTATTTTAAAGATTAGATTGATTCAGCCAACTTTTGGATTAAATGGGTTTTTGGAAACAATTCCGCCAATCCTTTAATGTGAGGTAATTTGTTAAGAAGGAATAGACAACCCATGGCAAAATAAATCTTTGGGAAAACGTACAAAATGTTAAAGTAGGTGATAGTAACTTCTCCAGATCTTTAACAAGCTCTGGAACAAAACTTTCCGGTCCTCTTTGCTTAAGAAAAAGCTGAAGTGAATTTTATTTTGTTCATTTTAAAAGGCAGGATATTATTGCAACAAAATAGTTAAAGCATTAATATGAAGGCTGAATTTGGGCTTTCATACACACACATATATATAAAAGATGTTGAAATCAATAAGAACTGTCAGCATACATCTAAGGACATATCTCAAGCACAGAAGTCCTCCTTAAAACAAGGCAGATGATGATGTACAGAGCTTAAAAGCCTGCTTTCCCATTAGTGCTCCATAATACAAAAAAATGCAGAAAAGCACTTTGTCAGGAACAGAAATTTGGTTTTTGCTGTAGGCCCAATATGATTTTAACATCAGTTTTACATTTAAGTTGTTGTTTAGGGAATATTATTTCCATGTTATATGAAATGAAGCCATATGTTGTAAACCTAAATTTTGGAAATGGCCATTATATTAGAAGATTAAGCAACAATAGCTGTTGCTTTTCCTGTTGTAGGAATCTGCACATTCGCAGTGAACAACAGATGCCACTTTTGCAGCTGTGCCATGTCTTCGCCCTGTGGCAATGCCTACATAAGATGGAGTCCAAGCAGTCTGGAGGGTGCCACATGACACAGTTTGACTTCCCACTCACAGAAGTATTTGAGAGTTTCTGTCAAGAAGATTTAACCCTTACCCCACACTGCAGCATTTGTACTGCTATTAATCTCAAATTACTTGCAGGAAAAAGTGATAAAATTTGGAAATCTGAAATGGATGTAGGGGATAGCATGTAATGAGTTTTCATTATATTTTGAGGTCATTATAAGCAGTCACTGGTTTAAGCATAGAGCAACTTTCTACCTTTAACAGAAATTTCCACCAGATTACATACATTGACTCAGAAATGTGATTTTGCTTTTCTATCCCTGACAAAGCCAACAGACACTGATGTGTGAATTTGCATGTCTTGCATGCAGTTCCAGTAGTTCACACAAGCTGTGTTATTGTGCCTGTTTGCCTAGGTAACACCTACTAAATATACATGCATCCTTTTTCTATGTATGAAGGGAAACTCACTGCATTTTTCTTCATCAGAGCCATCTTCACACTGAGGTAGCTTATCACAAAGGTTATCCAATAGTATGCACTCTCCACTACGACACTGATATTCTTCAGGTGCACAAGCTCCTAAATGAGAACAGAAAAGGAGAAGGAAATTATAATTACTAGGTTATATTGATGTTCAATGCAGATCATCCAGTTTACCATAAAATAAAATTGATTGAATAATACAGAGGACCTTTTCCTAATGCCCTTCTGCTCTAATTCTGTTTTCTATTTCCTTGCTTCCCCTTTCCTTTTACCTCTTTTTTCTGAATAAAGACTATTTTTAGATAAATAGAAGGGAATATATATCACATATAGAGTAAATACAAAGCTATAATTATTTCTGTGTCCAAAGTGTATTTTTAATGGTGCAGTTTATTTTGTGGAAGTCTTATTTAAGGCAAGACAACTGATCAGCGTCTAAATTTTTAATATCCATATAAGATTATTCATTTGACAGTCAGCATAGACTGCTGTGTAACATACATGGAAAAGAATATGATTTCTAAACACATTAACTGGCAACAGCTGATGCCAGATTTTCCACAGAAATCACTTTGTATGGCTAGATGAGAACAAGATTTTCCAAATCCGCCTTTAAAAAAAATTATATTTTATACCATAAAAAGTATTTATTGTCAAATTATGCTCCCATATCAGAATCTCAATATTTCATGGAAAAATAACATGTGAAGAAAAACCTGCTTTTCTTCTAAAATTCACTTAATGGCAATGCTTTTATCTTTTTATTTTTATAGACCTGTAGGCTAATGAAATTAATATGTGTCCTTTGGCTGCAAAGATCATGAATAAGCATAATTCTTTTGGAAATGAAAACCTTTCGATATATTTAAGAAGAACTGGCCATGGCCACTTTGAGAACTCTGCCTCACTAAGCTCAATTCTTATTTTACAGCCAAATGTGGGGAAAGGTTCATTTTTGCTGAATCAGCTGAAAGAAGTCAGCATTGTTGGACTTAATAAATGTGATAGAGAAGGAAGAAAGAGAAAAAGTAAAATGGGCTTATGCCAGTATAAATCTGCATCTCAGTCTTGTACAATGGGAGTTGATTTTGCAACAATAAATCAATGGTTAAGATTTTTGAGATATTAAGAAAATTAATATAAGCGCTACTACTAATCTGCAAAAGAGTTGCAGATATTTAACATGCCTGAAGATACTTGTCTTTATGATATTTTAAGAAAAAATTTTAGGTTCTTGTTTTCCTTCTCTACATGCAAGTGAATGGTACTGCATGCATCTCTGAACACACTGCTTTTCCATTCTCTTATTTCTGTTGTCAGACTTCCACAAAAGTAACACAAAGCCTTTAGTCAGTTTCCATAAGACTTGTTCTAGAGACAGTGATAGCGTAAGTTTGTCCTTGTAAGCATGTTGCTCTTGCATATACTTTTGTATTTGGCTCAGTTTTGCATGTTTTTGGAGAGACAATCACTGAATTTTGCAAATGAAAGGTCTAATTGCAGTCAAGAAAAACAGAACTATTTAATCAGGGGACAGACTAGAACCAGAAACACACTGCTGTCCAAACATATAAAAGTCCCTTTTCCCAGATTTTTCACATATTAAGTGCACTGCTGGCAAGTTTACAGAGGACACAAGCTAAGTGGTGCAGTTGATACAACAGAAGGAAGGGATGACATCCAATGGGACTTGGAGAAGCTTGAGAAGTTGGCTTATGTAAGCTTAATGGGATTCAACATTGCTCTTGAGTTGGGGGTGATCCCAGATATGTGTACAGACTGAAAGAACTCATGCAGAGTAGACTTGCGGAGCATGATATGGGGGTCCTCCTTGTGGAGGACCTCCTTGTGGGCAAAAAGCTGGCCATGAGCTAGCAGTATGCATTCATATCTCAGAAGACCAATTGTCAGACATTAATGACATCATCAAATGTGTAAAAAAGTGATCCAATGACAGAGCTTTAATAAACAATCATTAATATTTGCCCTCTTATATTTAAAATGTTTATCAGCCAAAATAATGAGCCACTTTTTCACATACAATTGCAGAGAATTGGAGATGGTACAGATACTGACCAATAGGTCATTTTGTAAAGTATCAAAAATGTCACTTTTTGTTCTAGAAAACATACAGTGCAGATGGGTAACTGCTAATCTTTTTAACTTTTTGGTATTTCTGTTGACTAAGGACAGAGAGACACCCTCTGAGTGCACTTCAATTTTATTTCAGCTCTGGTATAAGCTCTTAAAGACAGGAGATCATATACTTACCTAGATTGTAGCCAGTAGTAAAGTTTGCAAGAAATCCCTTGCCTGTTGCAATCTCGTCCGTAAAAAGAGTTACTGTCATCTGGTTTGTTGTAGAGAAGACATCAGGCAATGGGTCGTTTCCTGTATAGACAGCTATTCTCCAGGAGAACATGAACATATTTATGTTATTTTGTTCTTATTAATTTCAAAATGTTTTAGGATTCAGTGCAAACACTGCTACTGCATGAATGCAGCTATTTCTCAAAACTAGATACAATAAGATTGCAATGTCCAAAGCCCAAACCCTAATTTGACACATCAGAACAGAAAATAATGACACTGTTTGTCCAGGAGCATGAACAGTATTATTTACTAAGTTGTTTTCTCTTGGATGTTTGACAAGCTAAGTGTTTACAAACACTTTGGAAATGCAGTGTCACATATGGTATGTTATCTCAAGTTCTTTTCCTACTTTCCAAGACAAATGAATATGAAGAAATAAAGAAGAAAGAGAGAATCAATTTCCTTTACATTTGATCCACCAATTTGCTTGAGTGGCCTGATTGCATTCATTTTACTACACATCAGTGTTACTTGCCCAAAAGTAAGGAATCTTGTCCTCTGCCATCTCTGACTTCAACAACATCATAAATATTTTCCAGATCAAAAACCTGAAAATGAAGTTGAATGTTTTTTCCTTTTTCAGCATTTAAGTACCATACACCTAGAAAATAGTAACACACAAACACAAAAATCACCTTATTGTTTTTTAGAGTTTACTTTGCAATTTTTATTAAAAAAAAAAAAAAAAAAAAAGATGTAGAGGTTTAAATCTTAACGTTAAAAGGAACTAATGCTGTCAAGACCTAAAATTTTGTTGACTCTGGCTCTCTAAAATACCTTTGAAAATTGCATTTAAGCTTCTAAGACATACACACATGTATTTATTACCATTCATGGCATCTGCAGTTTTCTCTGACTATAAAAAGGGTAATTATTTTGTACATATGAAAACATGACAAATAGTTTTGTCAATTAATCCTTATGCTATTTGATAGTAAAATATTTTCTATCATTGTACACAGAAAACTGCCTTTAAAGTTATTTACAGAAGAAGTATTTGCCTCTGTTTAACCTTACCATATTTATTCTGTGTAAGTGAGGATACTATGGATACTTTATTTAAAAATAAACAACATAAAACACTTTTCTCACTTCATAGAGGGAAAAATATTTTCTCGCTAGTCACAATCTCATCTGGGAACGTGTGAAATTAACACTTGGCAATGAGAACCATATCTCAAATGGGACAAAAACACAGAATAACGTTTTTTGTGATTAGCATCACAACACAATTCTACAGTTAAAGATGAAGTAATAAATAATTGACATTTATTTAAGAAGAAGCAGCAAAGTTCTCTTCCTTGCTTCATCCATCAACTGCACTTAGCAAATCACCTTGAAGCATTGTATGTCTAATTTTCTTATTAATTTTGCCAACTCTAGCTTAATATATATCAAGTAACATTAGTAGAATAGTGCCATCTTTTCACCAATATGTTAAGAAACATTCTATAGAGAAGTTGCAAAATGCATACATTCTTTCACCTTAAAAAAGTTAGCAATTTAATAGAAGTGATGACCAGGCTACTAACCTGGCAAATACATTGAGGTGAAATGTTAAAATGCAAACGTTCAGCACTTTGTCTGTTGTACTGACATAAAAATATTTGATATGAAAGATGTGATGCAACTGGCCAGTCTGAAACATAATAGTGTGAACTCATTATAATATTTTTTAAATCAACTGGCGCAAGATTCCTTAGCTTCTGCTAAGCGCCATGCACATACACTTTAGTTAAAAGAGCCCACAGTATTTAGCTAAAATCTTTTCAGCTTGACAGTAGGAAAACACATTTAGAACTATTATTCAACTAAACTTTTCCTGAAGACTTGGAGAAGAATAACTTACAAGAAGCTTGATTAGGATAATTGTTTGGAAAGTTTTTAGAGCTGAATGTATTGTTTGGCTCCCAGAGTTCAACTGGACCCCCACAGTCAGCTGAAAAAGAGAACATTACAAAAAAATAAATAATCTATTTCCTTACTGTTGCAATCAGTTGTCTTCAAAGATAATTTGGAAACAGTAATTTTATGAAGAAGTTATTTAACATTACCAGTATGAGGACAGAGCTATGCTGCTACTGTTATAAAGCTTGAACAATTAATTATGAGAAGTCACCATCCCAGTAAGGATCATTGGAGAATGTGTGAAAGCTTCACTATCCCTCTCAGTTGCAGTGTCTAAGTCAGACTTGCTGACCCATATAATTCATGACATTTTGTTACCTACAGCTTGAGGTCAGTGAAGTGCTAATGGCAAGGTGTTCAACTGCAGTCCTGATGATGTTATGAAAAGTCATTCCCTATGTAGGCAGTGGAATAACAATTTCCTTCATATGGTGATTACTGGTCTGCAAACTGCACACGTGACAGCAAATTGGTCGAAAAGTTTATAATTTAACCATCAGTTAATTTAAAAGCTTGAAAACAAGTGTGTAAGACCATTATGAACAAAAAAGCGTTAAACTGGCTTTTGTTATGAAATATTAGTGGCGATACAAAGAGACACAGAACTACTGTGAAGCTGCATAAAGAATCTAAGATGCACTGCCAGTAGCATCTGATGACAATCTTGCTTCTTTCAGTGGGCATAATGCAGGATTTTCTCAACACTGTAGAAAATGATGACTTTTCCAGAGGGGGAAAAAATCCTCTGTGCTTTTGCCAAAACATCAATTTATACTGACATACACATTAAAAGTGTGGAATCTACTCTGTAATTTTCACACTGTGGTTTGTATTAGAAGACAGGTTATAAATGAGTACGAAGATTAAAGCAATCCTTGCTTTAGATGAAAGTGTAAGGTAACAGTCTTGTGTAAATGACAAAAGGAAATCCAGCTTTCCTACCACACACAATGGCAAAAAAAAAAAAATTGACTTTTCAGTGAACTTTTGTGGCATTGCAAATTATGCCAATGTATCTCACTGAAACTCTAAATCTAGCAAAGGGAATTGGCTCAATGCAAATTCTTTTGTCTCTCATTTATATATGTGACATTTGTAGTGAAACCATCAGCGTTAGTAAAGTTGCACCACATCCATCAAAATAATGTCATGCTTCTTTGAAGATGATTGATAATATTGACGTTTTTCAGCAGGTTACAGGCAGCATATGTATAGCATGCTTCAATAAAGTCAGAATGCAAACCAAGTTAGCTTTTCCTCAGGAACTGCTGATATAACACTTTTGCATCATATTGAAGGACAATATGGATCCTCTTATTCATTTTATATGGAGTTTGTTATACACCACACAAATACTTCATTCTTAAATATTCAGGTCTCAACGCTATACTTTGCATTGAGATCCATAGTTTGAAAACCATTTCTGTGACATTTTGACAGCAGAACTCAGTGACATTCTATTACAGAGGCTTTCCATCATTAATCATTTGATTGAAGTTAACTTATAAGGAGGTGGCATATAGCAGCATCTCCTAACAGTTTAATGAAAATTGCAATCAAATTCCTAAACTTACCTTGCTCACCTGAATGAAATTACTAGTGTTAATAACAATTTATTTTACTAACAGATATGTCTCGTTGGACTTTATGTTCCTTTCTTGTTACAGTGCTCTAAAATTTAATTTTGCTCTCAATTTGGAAGAATTGGTTCCTTCCCTGTTCTAATGCAGTAGATTTAGAGGTGATAGATTTGATAGAATCACAATATTAGTACACGGAGCACCGGTATAAATATAGTGCATATAGTCTTTTTCTATCATTTTAATTTTAGACTTCTATTAGCTGTATGTTTTGAAGGGAGCAACTAGCTGTGTCTTGTAAGGGACAGTAAATATAACAGGAGGCAGTTCTGGAACATGTTTTCTGATTTAATGATTTCAAGCCTTCTGAGAATAAATCTGGAAGTCTTTATTTTCCCCAATAAAGTTCATGTCCACATTATGTTACAAAGCCTCATCAAATGTTTTATTTTGCCACAATATCTTTTCAGATTTGTATCTGGTTTTGAATGTATTTTGAATGTATTTATGTCAGTTTTTGAATGTATGTGGAACTGTTTACATCATATGGAATTATTCTTCATTGTTTTATGTGCATTTCTTAGACTTAAAATGATGCCAATAGGTATTTTTACATACTTTTTCTCAGTGAGATTCTGGCTCTGTGACCTGGCTCTGTGAAATTTTAATTTATGTGGAATCTTAAATCTCTGTTTTCCTTTACAGGACTCCACAATGTGGTGTGTCTAAAGCAAGATGAATTAATATATGTAGAAATGTAATTCTTACTATTTCATTAATTTTCAGTTGATGTGGAGAAAATACACAAGTAACATCAACTCCTCCTCCTGTTTCCAAGATTCAGAAAGGAGGCCAAGAAGACGGTTTTGTGAGTTGAAATCAAATTCCTCATAGCAGGGGAAATACTCCATCCATTGTTACTAGAGCCAGTAGCTATTCCTCACAGGGAGATAATTTAGCAAAGCAAGATCATGTTCAATAGGCATCTGAATGAGATGCTACAACATATGGTTTAGTAGCTTAGTGGTAGTAATGGTGATAGGAGAATGGTTGGACTAGATGATCTTATAGGTCCTTTCCAACCTTGTGATTCTATGATTCAGTGATTCTGTGAAGACTGATAAAGTCAGGAGTTGGTTTTGGCACATTTGTTATTTATGCAAATATTGAAATCACTCATTAGATCAGACAGACAAACAACTTTGATTGTTGTGCTGTTATTGTTTTTTTTTTTTTTTTCCTGCCATCAGAACTCCTCACTCTGTCTTTTCTGTTTTCCTACTAAGACTTTTTACAAACCAAATACTGCTCTATTTTTCCTTTTTAATGTAATGGTACCTAGAATGAATAACAACGTGGCCAAATGCAAATTGGAAGATCTCACTCACTGTGAGCCTTGATCCAGATAAATACTCCCATTTTGGGTATTAAATGGTCATATAGATAATTCTTAAATTGTTCTGGCACTATTATTCTTTCATTACCCTTAAGCATTGGATTTTTCATTGTGCATGTGTTCTCAGAGTTTGGTGAACATATGCTGTCGAGACGTATGGAGATATCATGATGTGATTTTGCAAACTCTTTTCTCACTATTAATCATTTATAATTTCAAATACAGAAGTTACTATCCTCATCTCTCTTTGTTCTCTCCACCTTACTGTTGTACTGAAAGTTTTACTAATTAAAGATTTGAGATATAAATACTAAATTCTTTACTAATGTACTGAGCCTGGCTGGGATGAAGTTTATTTTTTCCAAAGCAGCCCATATAATGTTGTGTTCTGCACTTGTAGGTAGAACAGAATTGATATTGCACCAATATTTTGGCTAGTGCTGAGCTGTGCTGGAAATCATAAAGGCAATCTCCATCCCCCTCCAACACCAGTAAGCTGGCAGTTGACAAAAGATGGGGAGGGGACATTTCAAGGGCAGCTGAGGTAAACTAACCAAAAATATATTCCATTCTGCTGGTGTCATACTCAGTTACAAAAACTGGAAAAGGGGTCGTGGGACTCTTGTTATGAACGCGTCTTTCCTTCAGAACAAATACTATGCAATGAGACCCGGCTTGCCAAGATGTGGTTTCCTTGTGGCCAAGATGTGGCTTTCTCTGCTCCTTTGAAGGGGAGTGAAACAGCAGCTTAGTGGATTTTAGCAAGCCATCAATATGAAACCACCACAACTTGTCTTTCACTCTTCAAGTTTGGAAGATAATGTACTGATAGCTTAAGCCGTGAACCTACCAGTTATATTGCTATGAATGGAGTCATGAGCAGCAAACCTAATTCCTAACAACTATTTTGAAGTTAATTTTATAATGTTGGAGAATTTTGTAAAGCTGAAATGAGTTTTTGAATCACTGAAACACAAATGCAGGAAAGAACTGATAATCACCAATCATGTTTACTTACTGGGAACTGAAGCAGTAGTAGTGGCAATTGGAAGTGCAGTTGGCTCTACATAATTGCTTTCATTACACTTTCCCTCTGTCAGGCTAATATCATCCAAGGCAATTTCACTTGGAGCAATCTTTGTAAAGGCATCAAATATAACCTGAAATTAATCAGAAATATATATATGTATATATATATATATAATGAACGAATGAATGAATGAATGAAACACATTTTATCTTTCTGACATTTCATTTCCATTATAATCTGAGCTGGTGCTACACTCAGAGGTGGGTATCAGAGATGAGACAAGATTCCCAGCAACACAAATTCCTACCATGCAAACAGAATGAATCATTCTAAGGAATGCAGGAACTTTATATGTGATGAACATAATTTAGAACTATTCCATAATTTACATATAAATTAATGTAATTTTTGATACACAGCATTCTGTATCACTTACCAGTCCAAACCTTGCGATATAATGGCTTATCTACATAAAAAAACCTGCAATTTATCTGATGTTCATTACTGTGTTTTACTATATACGTATTTAAAGAGATCCTGCTATCAAGGCATTTGTGCAAAAGACATTTTTATGTCTTTAAAATATATGGTATAGGTATATAGTATATATAAGTAAAGTACTGTAACTGTTCTTGAGGTCCCAGAACACACATTTGCTAGAAATGTGATGCAGCCAGGTCACAGACATATTCATTTCCTCAGGCAGTGGATGCATCTATCTGATAGTGTTTTTGCATTGATAAAATCTACTATAGCAAGATAAGCCATCAAAAAACCTATGGAATAAATGTGGAGCTGTGGATCATTCGGTTCATTTGGAACAAAATTGACATCAGTTAAAAAAAAAAAACAAACTAAATAAATAAAAGTCTAAATGTTAAACAAACCTTAAAATCAGATGTTTCATTTAAAGTTACTTGTCCGTAAACCCAGTTTTTTCCATAGTTTCCTTCTTTCTGGAAAATTACCTTTTCAAGACCATATTCACTTCTTACGTTAACGCATAAACGGTAAATGTTAGGACTGCACATGTAATACCTACAGGGGTAAAAGCAAAGTTTTCTATTTTTAGAACAAAATTAAACTGTGGAGTAATATCTAACTTTTTAATGTTAAGAGTTCCATTTTTCTTGATTAAAACTGAAAGTTTTATCTCGTTTTTTTGCCACATTATCCGTGGATACTTAAGCTTTGTGACAAAAACATTTCAGGAATTCTTAATATTTCTGTGTAGAAATGAATGCTGGGTATGGGGTGAAAAAGAGAATACATCAAAGCTAATTGCAAGACTCAAACCTATAATGGAGTAAAAGTTTCAGAAGTTAAGATTGGTCATAGCAGTCTAAAGAGATGTAGGCTACTACACTGACTTGAACTAATATATATGAAAGTAACTATTTGTTTTTATTCTTAAATGAATGATATGTATAGGATCCACATGTAATATACAGAGGTTACATAGCACTACCAAAAACTTAGACAAGATGGATCTGAGGGGATCAAAGGCAAACTTTGAAGTCGAACTCTTCCTCCTTCAACTCCAAGTCCTGAGGGTGTTGAAATATAGAATCCTGCAATATAATGAGCACATTTTAGAGAATACAGAACTTTCATTTTTCAAATGAGAGCAAGGTGTTGTTTTTATTTTTATTTTTTCTGTTTAAAAATAGTATTAATACTATCAAGCACAAATATTTCTAATGGATTGAAATATCCCTGACACAGTAGAAGTGAACAGTCAACAACATTAAAATGAGCTTTTAAGCTTGATGGATGGTCCTCAGAACTAAACATGAAATGAGAAACTAACCCTTCTAAACTCTGGGAGATCTGCATTTTCTTCAGTAAAGTCAGGTATTAATTTATTTCTGCTTAGTTTATAAAGATGCCATCCTGTTTGGCACTGTGGCTTTATAGAATTTCTTAAAGTGCCATAGCTTTTATCTACATAATAGTGTGAGATACAAGGTGTGTGTTGAGGAGTGAGAGAGTGACTATGTGAACACTGTGTAGCATGAGGAAACATCATAAAAAAGAAAGATATCTTATTTGGAGATTTTTTTTTAACCTTTCTGAATTTATCCTTTGCAGCTGGGAATTTGAACTTTCCGCTGCAATATGGAAATACAGTACAAGGCCAGGGTACAGAAGCGTTGTTTTATCACAGAAAAGTGAAAAAGTAGACGGAGAAAAAGTCCTAAGATAAGACTTTTGCCTTATTGAAATCTTGGCTGTAATTTCAGATTTTATTCTCTCTATCTGCATATCTAGCTAATTCCTATATATGCAAATATTACATAGAATTTAAAAATAATTATAATTAATGTACATTATACCACATTTTTATTTATACCTCCAGACTAGCTAGAAGATTCAAGTACACAAGCACACAAAATAGTGTGAAATATCAATAAATTCCTGAGTTGCTTTAGAAAATCATATATCAAAAAATAAATGATATCCAGATTTAGAAAATAAGAGTGACATTCTTATTTAGAAAATGTCTTTATATAGCCAAAATGAAAGTCCTCTGTCTTTATATCATCAATTTTCTGAGCATTCTGATTCAATTTAGGAAAACTTGTCCAGTAATGAATGATGTTTTCCATTAGCACTTCTGCTGTTAGAATGTTCGTTACATTGGATATATAATTTTTAATGAATATACTGACGTGTAACACAATCAGATGTAAACAAAAAGTGAAATGAGGCTTAAGCATAATCTAATCAAAATAAATAATTTCTAATGGAGGTCAGAAGTATTACAATGGTTTGGTTTTGAGGCTTGTTAATATGTTTTAATTCTTCTGCTTGCAGCAAAAGAAATAGGGCAGCAAAACAAACGTACACTGCCTACATAATATCTAGATGTTAACACTATAGTTTATGCTTTTATTTCAATTAGAAATATTAGAAATATTAACATTCAAAATAAAAATAACATTACATATAGTAACATTCTATACATCAGTTTAGACCTATGAAAGTGAAAGAGAAAACATCTACAATATGTTAGCATTTTCAAGACAGCTGGAAATTATTGTCAAGTGTGTCAGGAAGTAAATATTACATTCTCTCATTTGATATGTACTATAGGAGTTGAGCAGGAAAACAGTGAATTATTTAGAAAATGTTCATTTACTCAGAAAGAGGAATAATTTGTATACAATAACATGCTGAATTATATTTTTCTTATCCTCTGAGTAACTTTTGCCAGAGTAATCTGCAATTTTTCCAGATACTTGTCACTGTATAATTTATTTATCATGAATAGCACACATATGGTCATTGTGAAATCCAGATTACATTAATTACTTTTAATTGGGCTGATCAATCAGCTGATACAGATTGTTTGGTTTTCCTTCTGAACTAGAAAAACTTCTGGATTCAATTTCAGAAAAGCACCCATTGTATGCATTCAAACTCTGATTCCTAACAGTATTGTCTCTGTAATTAAAATCCATGCATGATACGATCACTCTTCTGATCAAGATATTTTCCTATAGATGTTCCTGGAGTTTATTGTGCATGTGTGTGTTGAAAATTAGTGCGTCTGATGTGATATTATAACTAGGAAAACAGAAGACATATATACCACTCAGGTCAACATTTTAAAATAAAAATTATTCTATGACTGTCATGATGTAGACACAGATGAAAAAGAAGTAGTTTTGGAAAAAAAAAACCCAATAATAATTTTTCTTTCCTTTAAGGTAAAGAAGGAATTTTTTTTTTTACCTAAAACGCTATTGTATAATATATCTTTCCCAGACTTTGAACCGTGTTAAAATTCCTTGATACCTCATACCTTAATCACTTCATATATTCCATTTATTTCTAGTTTTGGTATACTTACACAAGATGAAAATGAGTTTTGTCTGATAGCTCTGAATAATTTTTATGGCAGAATAAAATTGCATCCTCTCTAAAGAAAACAGTTTAGACTTATACAGCATAAGCTAAAATAAGCTTTTCCTTTAATATAAAGGCAATTTGTATGTTACCTTACCTGACTCATTGCCAAATGTATGATCAAAATCAGGACCACTCAAAAAGGGAAAGGTAGGGCCCTGATATCTTTCCCAGTCTAAATCATCATCTAAATCTTGTATCCAGTAACAAAAGCCATCTTCAAAAGTGCAACTGACTTTCTCAAAATCTGTTAACAAGAACATCTAGTAAATAAAAATGACAAATAGATTAAATATTTTCTCAGATTTACAAAAATGACAAAGTTTAAATTTTCAAATGCATTTGAAAATTGAAGCCTATGGTGACTCTCTTCTAAGAAACATGATTACTCACTGAAATGTGTATTTTTTTATTGTCAACAATTCATTGTTGCTGAAGGTGGCCTGAAGGTTGCACTCCTTTACCAAACTTCTTTCCTGATCATTTGCCAATAAGTGGTGGATGAACAAGAAAGGAGACCTGCATAGCAGACCCTAAGGACTAGCCTTCCTCTTAGCCACAGTTCAGGCTGCTCCAGCTGAAAGGGCTTCCTATCAGAGCCACCAACTACAAGATCAATATATAAATGCTGTGCTTCATGCACCAGGAATGTTCCTTTCTTTGTTCTCTTCTCCTTCTTTGATCATACAGATTCGCTGTGACATCGCTTTTCTTCCCACAATTTGTCCTGTGTCTTTTCGTGGTGTCTTGAATTTCAAATTAGCCCACATGACAAGAATTTAGTGACATTTTGGATGTTTCTTCTGCAGCATACCCCTTTCTAGTCACATTCCCTATTCATTTCTGCTCAAAATTTAACAGCCTGAAGCAATCTTCACTTGCAAAATCTGCATCTAAGTTTTTTTAACAACTGCTAAGGTACATCAGAGCATGAGTTGTATTGCTGGATTTTATCACTGAAGACTTGTTACATCTGGATCCCAATATCTATTCACGGAAGCAGTGTTTTCCTTAATGGTTGTTTTACCACTTGGAGCTGCTATTTGTGGCAATGAGATAGGACATGAGAAACTGGAGAACAGGTATTGCCTAGAGATAACAAAGTAATGATTAGCAGCAGGGATTATACTGTGTTTGATAGTGAACAAACTTGCTGAAAAGAATCTCAAGGAAATACAGCCATTGTTTTATTCTTTTATTTTAACAGCTCAAGCACTGTAATTCAACTCCCTATTGCTAGATCCAGCCTGTATGACTGTAGACAGGCATTCTGAAATCAATGATATGGTCTGTAAAAAAAGATGAAATTTCCCAGTGTGGGCCAAGGTAGAGGATTGAGGCTAGAAAATACTGCTTCTCTTTCCATTTCCATTTTATAAAATGAAACATATAGTCTCATCAAGCATTGCAGACTACCACAACTACAACAATAGCAAAAAAGAACACTTACTTTTTAGTTCACTTGCATTAAAAGCAGTGTATGTTGCATTAAAGCCATTGTAGTTTACAGAATAATCAGATGTAAACCTGGCTGTAACCTCATGAGAAAAAATGTGAACTGTCTCAGGATTAGACCCTGAGAGAGAAGCTGAAAACAAACAGAGAGTAAATTAATCAGTAAAAAAAAAATCCCATGTATAATGAAATCCCCAGCACTGTTATAAGAAATAATATATTAAAAAGTTCTTATGAATTTTAAATAACACTCTCTCTTGCATTGTGATCTGTCTATAAGACCTTCAAAATCCTGAAGCCATTTAGTCATTTGGCTAAATACAATTATTCTGCGTTTCCCATCTCACGTATCTCCCAATATGGATATCATCAGCTAGTGCAGAATCATTGTCTATATTACAGTGTGATTATACTTTTATTTTGTTATAAAATATCCATATATTAAAATCTAAAATCTTCATATACATGCTTCTTATGCTGCAGATTTTTTCATTGTACAGATATGCACTCTGAAACTCTGTAATAACAATAGTGAATATATATATTTGTTATATAAACTTTCTGTCACGGTTTCATAATTAGTACATATGCTTACAGACATTCGAGGAGAAATTTTGAATTTAATGTAAAATTATTTTATTTATTTAAATGTAGAGTCTACTGGAGATGTACCTTTTAACTGCAATGTTTTACAAAACCAACTGAAGGACAATCTTTAAGTTTATATCATTGCACTATTACCAGACACGCCCACAGCAGCCTTAAAAAATGTGCAAGTTAATGGTTGCTGCAAACTGTACTACTGAAGCAATCTCTCTCACAGAAATTTAAATCCCAAAGTGGATTTATATTCAGAGCAGTAGAAGGAGTGGAGTTTCTGTACTCTGTATTCCACGTCTTTCACTACTTTACAGTCCCATTCCCTCCCTGCTTCCAAAAATATGAATACATATTAAAGATCTTTCTGACTTAGAAAGATTTCGGATCTAGATATTTATCTTCACGTACATGTATTCCATCTATGATGGAATTCATCTGGATAAACTGAATCTAGTGAAAAATGGGCAGAAACCTATTTTTCAAAACAGAATATAGAGAGAAATTAGTTATCTGTCTTCAGTATCTTCACTATTTCCAGGTCTGAGTCAATAATGCCACACATATAATAATTTGCAGAGTACCAAGTACTCATCCTATCAGCTTCAGTTTAGATCACTTATTTTAATGTCACTATGGATGACATTAAAGGATCATGGCAATAGTCAAGGTATTTACATTGCCCAGATAAGGCCTTTAAAAAATTGTGTTTTCGTACATGTTAGGCCAACGTTTATCTGTCCACTACATAAGAATGGTTGAGTATATTGATATGAACTTCAAAAGGAAAACTCTACACAGATTCATTTTTTCAACATACTTTAGACATACAAATGCATTCCTCTTCAGTTTAAAATCTTTTACTACATGAATTCAGTTAATGGGAAAGTAATATTAGCTGAAAAATAACTTTACCTCTTAAAGTCTTGTTTTGTCCTATACCTTCAAAAATGTTTAAATTGTCCATATACTCCTCTGTATCAAAAGAAGTGAAGTTCACCTTAATGGATAATCCTTGAGGCACTCTAAGATGAAAACAGAAATGTAAAGCAGAAAAGATAAAAATTTAAAAAAATATACTGTAACAAATTTATTGTATGCTTGAATAACAATCAGTTCAGAACCCGAGTGAAATAACGTCAACCAAGATGATTAATTAACATTAGCAATTTGGCTAACTCCTAGTTTGTAGAATTGCAGATGTAATAGGGCATTGACCTTTTGTAAAAGTAGAGGTATTCCTGAACTCACTGGAGCCAAGAATATTTTAGGAACTGAATCTTTTAAAAATTGAGAATATGATATTCAGTTGGACAGCCATTTTTTCTCTGTGGTTCATTAATTCTAAATCACTTTTGAATACATTACTGATAAATAGTATCTAGCTGCTCAGGCAGAATTCTCTAAGTCAGAAAAGTAGTGTGATGCTATCAATATGAATAGCAGGACATCAAAATCTTTCAAAAGAGACAGATGTCAATCCTTCTTGAAAATCCTCTTTTATTATGAGGTCTTTTGTTAAAATGCCTCTTTAAATTTACATGAAGAGTTGAGACCTCAAAAACATTGTTTGAGAATATGTTATCAAATCTAATAATCACCCAGTAATTTTAATAGTATTTATAATACTAGTAATTTAGTAGTATTTATTTCAATAAAAGTGTAAAAATTGCTGTATTTTGTTTTTACTGAAATTATATTCATTTAGTAACCTAAAATTAAATAGATATATTTGTGGTAGTAAAAATTCCAAAGCAGTGCTATCATGCTATCACAAGCAGCTTCTTATATCATCCTTTGTTGTTTTTGGAATTGAAAGAGCCAATAAAGATTTTTTTTCTTTTTAACAGCAATCTGCTGGAACTTATCAATACTGCTTAGTAGAGAAGTATGATCATTTTTTTTATTTTTTTTTAAATGTTTTTCCACTGGTAAACAATAATCATTTGTTTTAAAACGGTAAAACATTTTGTTGAAAGTTCAAGAGGAGCTAATCTTTTAGGTAAATATTGAACATACTGCTCTTACTTTTGAAAGGAGAAGAAATTGCTTCTTCATGGAAAGATTAGAGGGGTGGAACTGTAAAATCAACACAATCTTTTGCTTTTCTTATGACACACTATATATTAAAATCTCTGTGGTGTAAGTATTGGTGAATGGAAGGAGCAACTGTATCAAACAAGAAAAATGATGACTTATTCCAGAAGTGTAAAGGTGAAGATTCTGAATGAACTCAAAGAGTAGAGCTCTCAAAGGAGTCTTTGGAAGGAAGAATTTCAAATCTTATTCAATTTTCAAAATATTTCCTTAATCTGTTTTAAAACTTTTTTTTTTTTTTTTTTTTTTTTACAAAACTAATACTTCTCAATATCAAAGAATGGTTGTTATTATAAAGCCATCATCATAATCACTGTCTCTCAATTCAGTAACTTCTGAACTGACAATCATTCTGTGGATTTTAGACGCTTCAAACTTCTAATCACCTGTCTTATTTTAGGTGTATACTTTAGGATGAGATTTGTCACTATAGCTATCTTTGTTCTTCCTGGGCAATAAAGAGAACCTAGAGTATCAAAGTCAAGTAGCTGTCCATCCCTATAGGTGTGTATGCTTGCTTAAACAAATTTTACCTCCGTTGCTGAGAACTTTCGTTCTGTTATGATGCTATTCAGTCATATGTGTAATTTTAAAATATTTCTAAATGAATTAGGACCTTAAATACAAATAATTTCAAATTGAACTTTGTATCCCTAAATGATGGGAATTCTTGAATTCTCCGCTTTTTAAAAATAGTGATGTCTTATAAAGTTAGTAACTAAAGGCTACTATATACTATATGTATTGCAATTATTTTGAGTTGTATGATTTATTGTAAGCTTACAAATACATTCTTGTACATACACGCAGCACAACTGAATTATCAAAATCATACACCACAACTATCATTATTAGTGTCAGTTTGGGGTCTGCAAGTTTTTAAAGAAATACAAAGGAGAAAATGCTATTTCGTATTTTCCATGCTATGATATTTGAGAATACAAACAAATGACAGAGGGTTGATGTACAGGAAACAATGTCCCCTCATAATTGAACAAATGTTAAGTAGAAAATCATCAGAAAATGCCTTACAGTATAATCCACTGGCAAACAATATTTGCATTATATGGTTTTGGATAATTCATAGAGTGAAAAGACCCAGAGGAATCAGTCAGCATGAATTTTCCATCACAAATCGCAGCTGTAAAAATATAATGAAGAACATTTGTCAAAATGCCGTTTGAAAAATGGAAGCAGTGTCAAAGTGATAGAGACCTTAAATATTAGTTTGCAACTACTACCTAGAAAATACCTTGTAAGCAAGAATGGAATGATAAACTAAAACACATTACCACCCCACTCCCATTTTGAATTCCTGTGATTATTTAATCTCAAAATACTACAATATTATAGACAATTTAATTTTTACGTTAGAGACAATGCAACTAATCCAAACTAGTCTAAATCAATCAGTCTAATTAAAAATCTGATTAATTGAACTGTCTTTCATTTTACTTTTTACATTATTAAAGAATTTTCTCTTAGTATTTCTTATCTACTGCTATTTTAAATGAGGAAAACATGTCTGGAAACAATCTGATATCATGTTAATGATGTCAAGAAGGGATATGGTTGACATTGCTTTCTCTACTTTTACGAGCTCCCTGGTTCCTTACCTTACATTTTACTAATTACTCAAAGAGCTAAGTGGATATTCTGTATCCTTTCAGCTATCAAGTCTAAACCAAACCTCCTTCATTATGATGTAATTTTCAAGATATTTGTATTAGTTTTATTTTCTTGGTCTTGCAATTTCATTTTATGCATGTTCAGTTTAAAAATCAATTAGTTAAAAAAAAAATCATATTTTTAAGCTTCCACAAGACTAAAAATGTTAATTCATGTAGAGTTTTTTTTATTTCTGAAGACATTGAAGCACTGTTGAAACCTTTGTTGCATCTCATTGAACGTGATGCAAAGATTCCGAGGATGGTTTTCCTTCAGTTTTTAGGAAAGCATCATATTTTCAAATAATGCTATAATCAATACATGATTAGCTGAAGAGGTAAATAACAGGTTCATCAGTTTGAGACTGATAACCAGAATTAGATACAGCTTTTCATTAACGTCAGAAGTGAAAGCATACCTATAATGACTATTCAAATTATGAATGATCAATCATATTGAAAATTAAATGGAAATTTTATTGACCATAGTTCTCCTCTGGGAAATGATTACATAACATGATAAATCAGTACTCCTTGCCTGTTCACTTGATAAGTGTAAAATTCTTTCTGACTATCACTGCAAACATAACATAAAAATCAGGCTTTTTTTCTGTCAGGTTCAGTCATACTGTGTTAATAAAGGCTGTGTAGAATGAATTTCACTAACAATTACAGGACTCAAGAATAAGCTGGAATAGAAACTTGTTAGCATGTTCCATTTTGCAACTCTCATGGTCTTTGGGAGGAAGCCAGACCATGTATGGTTTTAAACACATGGAGAAAGTAGGTCTATGAAAGAGACTTACTATTCTATACAATCTTCTAATCAGGTTAGTTTTGGAGCAGGCATAGAATGACTTTTTCTGTCCCTTTGAATATGTATATTCCCTGTTTTCACTAATGTGCTAAAATTTACAACTATTTTTTTTTTTACTTAATGGACAGAGAAAATACTATGGATATCTTTCCAAAGTCAGTATTAATAAAATATTCGGAAATAGTAGAGGAAAAGAAGAAATCATTAACAAAGATATTTAATGGTGACATTTAAAAATATAAACCCACAAGCTTAGTTTTCAGTTATAGCAGAATGATACTTTGGCTATACTTGTGGGATGAATTTCAGGTGTCAACACGCTTAATTGCACATGCAGTCACCAAATGGAAACCAACAGACATGAGGAACATAGGAAAAGGACTGGAAAAAATAACAGATACCATGAATGAAGAAAGGGAAAGGCAGTGCAAGATAGTAGATACAAATAGTAACAAATAATGTGATATAGAATTCCCTATTTGATGCCATTATTAGTGTAAGAAGAGTAAAATTAGTGTAAGAAGAAGAAGAAAAGTGCCTAGCTCTGAGGTGTGAAGTGTGAAAAACAGCAGTACTGTTAACAAATGGCTAGCAAGATGCATGCTAACCTAAAAAGGGTTTTTTAGTACCTGCAATAATAATTAAAACCTCTAACATACTGTTTTTATAAAAATAGTGACTATTTTGCTCTTTTCAATAATTACTTGCTGTTCTTGTTTTTTTTTCCTGTTTCTTCTTACCTCCTAAGAGATATTGAATAACCTGAAACAGGACAAAGAGATAAAGACAAAAGCTCTTAAGTTGCTCTCCACTGTCTAGGAATAGTAAATGCTTGATATCTTAGGAATGACCTGGAGGGTGGCTGGAAGCCATCAGTATGCTCCTAGCAGTTCCACATCGCAGGGTAGAGACTAGCAGAGTAACAAACAAGTACACTTTTTCTTTTTCCTGGAGCTCTCAGAGAAGCCTCAGCTGTTCTCCTAATGAGACAGGAGACATCTCTTATAGGCATCACTTTCACTGCTTCCCAACATGTCTCTGTCCATTTTTGTTTATTCATGTGATATACAGGGAGTATTAAGAAGGCTTAATCCTGTTATTCCTGCATTCCATGGAGAAGCTCCCTGAACTGGTCAGATCAAGTCCACAAATTTCATTTGATAGGCTCTTTCTCTGCCAAGGGCAGCATATTTCTTCCTGGCTTTCATATGATTGATCACTCTCAGTACTCTAGTAATGTTGTGAGGTAGGTAATCACAAAATGTTAGCCTAGACATATAATAATTGAGATGAGAGTCTGCAAAGTGAAGCAGCTCCTGGGCTCAGGCTCCAATCTCCTTTTCCTTATACTCATGTGCTACATGGCTGCTTTTCGTCATTGCAAGCTATTATTAATAGATGCTGTTCAGACTTTTGCATTTCTCTAGAGACCCTTTCACTGAAATTGCTAACTGTACTTTTGCAATGGCCTTTTGTTACTGCACTCCATTGCAGAACTAGAGAGAAACATTTCAAGATAATTTTCATCAATAAAAGCAAACAATGAAGGTGTTCATTTTCTGAGAATGTTAGACTTTCCTGAATTCTGTTTAATGCACAAAAAGACTATTAAATATTCCATGCATATCCTATATTTTAATACTACAAATGTACTATAAACTCACAAGTACTCAACAAAGCTAATCACCATAGAAAAACAAACTGAGTTGTTTAAAGGGTGGCAACTCCATTGTGTGAAAGAACAAGAAGAATTACCTTCCAGCTATAAAGCTCACTGTAAGACACTGACATATTTCTGAAAATCTAGACAATTTTACCACATTGCAGCCTTCAGGACACTACTGAATCATGTATACATAACTTTGACTGCAAGTGGATGAATATCAATGTATGAGTATCAATTAAATTCTCATCTATAACAGGTCGGGTTGTAATAAATTTCATAAAATATAAGTAAAACTTATAAATTTGAATCTAATTATTCAAAGTAGCAAAAAAGATTTTTATGAGATATATATTGCTAATTATTAACTATTACAAGGACCTTCACTTTTTTAATTAGCTGTGTCCACAATAAAAACATAACTCACCAAAACCAAAATCCCACATCTTAGAACAACAGTGAAAAAATAGAAATAAATTACTGAATAACTCTTTGGTGTTGTGCTGTCCCAAACCCTGCAGTGGCTACTTTAGGATCTTCAGCTTTCCTCAATGTAGAGTGATCTTGCATCTGATCATGCAGCTCTGGATGCAGCTATTAAGATAAATAGAGATTTTGATGTGTTTCAATGGATATGCTAAGTATATTGAAAGATAGTTCCCCCAAAGTTTTGACTAGATCTCCCTTCTCAGCTGGCTGCAGTCAAAAAAATGTAAGTAACAAGCAGGTCTGCAATTAGCACTTTGGTGTGAAGAAGATTCCACTTCTGACAGAAGTCGTATAAAAGTTATTAAAAATATCAATCTTTTGTTTACTTCTTTTTTTTAAAACCAGAGTTCAGCAATTCACATATTTCTGAATATTTAGGCCAGACTGACTTCATCACCCAGGAGAGCTCAGAAATATGTTTTCACAACAGAATTGAAATAAGTTTTCCTGACTCCTCTAGTACAAAATCATATTTTCTAAAAAACACCTCAGGGAGCTAATTGCTCCAGCATCTCTCAGAACATTAAAAAGTTTTCTTTGCAAGAAAATACTAGAGGTAAGACTGTGAAAAGCAACACAGACATTAGCAAGTGTACCTCCCCATCAAAAAGCTGCATTTTGGTACACAGTAACAGACTCCTTGGTACTATTTGACAGTACTCACTGCTAAATGGAGCATTGCCAATTCTGCACCAAAAAAAAAAAAAAAAAAAAAAAAAAGGGCTCAGGGAAATTAGGTAAGGGTGAAGGATGTAATTTTTTTGGTTGTAAGATTTTCACAGAATCATAGATCAGTTGAGATTGGATGGATGAACCTTGTCCAACATCATGCTCATGCAGCGTCACCTAAAGCTGTCTGCTGAAATGTTCACGTTATAGAATCATAGAATCACCAAAGCTGGAAAAGATCTCTAAGATTATGTAGCCCAAAAGTCTGCCTACCACCACTATTGCCCACTAAACCATGTCCCTCAGTACTATATCTACATGGTTCTTGAGCACCTCAGGGACAGTGATTCCAACAACTCCCTGGGCAGCCTCTTCCAATGCACTACCACTCTTTTAGAGAAGAAATTTTTCTTAATGCCCAACCTGAACATCCTCTGGCACAACTTGAGGCCTGTTGTCTTATTGCTATCATCTAGTAGAAGAGTCCAACTCCCACCTGGATACAATCTCCTTTTATTGAGTTTTAGCGACTCATAAGGTCTCCCCTGAGTCTCCTCTTCTCCAGACTAAACAATCCCAGATCCCTCAGTAGCTCCCCATAAGAACTGTGCTCCAAACCCTTCACCAGCTTTGTTACCTTTCTATGGACATGCTACAAATCATCATTGTGCATTTCTAATTGTGGTTAGCAACTTAATATTTTTCTAGTCCCATTTCCTAGCACTCAATGTAACAAGATGGAAATAGATTGCCAACAAAGGGTGCCATGATGTGAGTCACTCTCAACCATTCTGCCCGCAAGATGTTGCCACAGGACACCTCTATCGCACCAACTAAGCCTGAGAATGTGGAGGCAGGAGGGAGGTGGCGGCACTTCATGTGAGATACAGACTCACAGAATGCAACTTTTCTGATAGAGCAGTAACCAAACTTTCAAGGAGGTGGCCAATTGATCTAAATTTCTTACCACTAAAATGAAAAAAATTCCTCTCCATTCAGTATGAACGGTTTTAAGCTCTATGAATCCTTAGCTATGTATAATCATTTCACAGAGGGCAAATTTCAACTGTTTGAATTTACTTTATAATTTTACCAAAAATACATTTAAATAAGAAAAACAAATCTAAATAAAAAGTAAATTCAAGATATCATTAGTTTAGAGAGTACACTTTTAGTTGAAGCATAAGAGATTTTACCAGGAAAAGCCAAACAGATGTTTTATAGCTAAAGTTACTGTAGAAACTTTACAATGGGATCGGGCATATCAGCTTAGTTCTTGCCTCATTTTTCTATGCACAAAGCCAAAACCAATTATCTGGTGACAGAGAGAAGATCAGCAAGGAGAATACATTGTTTTTAATGAAAAGCATAGTGAAATAAAATATCACTGAACCAGAGCGTATCTAGTATATTGTGAAAATCTGTTTGTAGTATTTTTTATGATGATATTTTTAATGATGGAATCAAAAGATAAACCTGTCTTCTAATGCTGAATATGACCGTAAGTAACTTTTGATACTGGATAATGTGATTTAACATTTGTTTTTGGAAAGAACATATTTGGTATTACTAGTACACAACTTCACATGAGATTTTGACATTGTTTTATATTTTCTATTATATTTATTTCTATTTATATTAATTTATTTATAGTTATTAATACATATATTAAACATCATCTTCTATATCATTTTGTATTAATGTAGATGCCTTGTGTTATTTTCTTCTTATATACTGAGCACATTATTCATCAATTAAAATTTTAAATGAAATTGCATTTACAAGATAAGTGTTATAACACTTAGATATTGTTGCTAGTATTTTTAGCAGAGTTAATGAAGCTAATTGCTTGTGAAGTACTTAAAAATACTGACAGTTTTAAGTATGCTCAGAAATACTGCTTTAAATAGATTTACATTCTTACCACATCTTTTTTCAGATTCATCTGAACCATCTGGGCAGTCCAAGATTCCATCACAAAATAAATCCTTTCCAATGCAGGTTACTCCATCATCACAAATTTCAGCAGGCGGCAAGCACTCAACTGAAATAGAAAACAAAACAGCAATAACAATAAAGCAGCAATGCAGTTTTACTACAATGGAAAATTGACTTACTTTTGGCTACTCTAGCACAAATCAAACCAACCACTCTATTGTGTTTCACAAAACGGCATTTTTAGAAGCCAGGAATGAAATATTGCATACTAAAAAGGAACGTTTAGCACAGAGTAGAGAATGGTATGAGAAGTGGCGTATTTTAAAAAATTATGTTTGAAGCAGGGCTAGAAGAAAATTTCCATGAATTCCCATCTCCTTCATCTACTTAAATAAACTATTTCATGCAATACACTGAATACATTTTCAAATTCATTATTTCTTTGTAATTTGATTAAGTAAATGCATTTTTTATATAAATGTATGTAAAAGTAACAAGGACTGGAAATTTTTTTTGATGTATGGTAATGTTTCAGACTGATTTACAAATAAAAACTTTCAGCGTTAGCAGCAAAAAGCAAAAGAGCTGCCATTTTGAATCCAATCGGTAACCAAAACTACGTCAGTCAAGTGATGGAGGTGTTAGTGTCAATAAATTAATTGCCATGGATGAGTAAAGATGAGACTGCATTCTAGACAGAAAAACAAAACCTTATCAATAATCTAGGAATATGCTTTGCCCAATACAGAAGAAAACACTGTTTACATATGACATAATCCACTCTAGATTAGTTCTTCAAATCATAAAACTAAACAGCATTGCCATCTACTGGATATAAATAAATTAACATTTTCTAGTGAAACATTTTGGCTTCTTTTGGAAACAGTAAATTATCCTTAATTGCAATATGACTGCTGAAGTCAACTTAGAAACGGCAGTAAATAAATAAGACCCATTTAAAAATGCCTATAAATGTCATATATATTTCACCATTTTATGAGACTAGGGAAAGTTTTCAACAATTCAAACAGGTTTGGCTTTCCATCCATCAGAATTACTGTGAGAGTTTGTTACCAGTTAAGAATTTCCTTTAAACCCTAAGAAATAATATGCATCAAAAATGAATAGTCAGTATGGGTGTCAATATACATATATCAGCATTTGTACAACTCGTGAAGCATTTGTGTAGAACGTACAGTCTCTTTGAAGAGGCCTCTCTTGTCAAATCAAAGGTAAATCTGCATATTGTGTACTTGCAGAAATGGAATGCAAGAAATAATATGAAAACAAGATATACAAAAACAGTGTAACCCTAAGATCCCAGACTATTTCATGTAATTGCCCTGCTTCTTCCCATACAGAGTTACCTACCTGAAGTTATAGCAGCCTTGCTTGTTGTGAGTTGTTCTGAACCTGCATAAACACAACCCTGCATTAGAACTTTACTTCTTAGTCTCTGAAAGTACCCCTACAGTTGTTTAGGCATTACTAAGAAGCTACTGATCTGCTGTTATGAGATCTGCATTATTCACTGCATCTTGAAACCCCAGCTCAGGTAATGGCATTGTAACTCCAGTTTAAGTGATTTGAATCTGATTGTCAAATGTCAAAATAAATTTAAGAGAAATACATGGAAACCAAAATTATTGTAAATTACATTCTTTTGTACTTAGTCTCATGCACTTTCAATAACTTCAAAATGCTTTTAAAAAATTTATTGAAAGAATCATAGAACATACAACAATAATGATTTCTTGTCTTCTCTTTCCCTTCCCTATTCTGATTGGGGTTGATGCCAGAGAACAGGCAGACTCACAGGATTTGTTGAATAAGAGAGAAGTTATGAGAATTTCAAATTACTACTAAACATATAAGTACTTCTTCATATAAATAACATTGCCCAACAAATTAGTGGTCACAGTATAAGGAGACTCAAATCTGTGTAGTTGCATATTTACATACTGGCATATTTACATATATGTGTTTTTACATGTTTTCAAATAATCAAACGCCTAGGTACTTGAGTAGACTTACATTAGTGATAGTAAATTGGAAAAAAATCTGTTTCATACTTTCTTATGATTGTTCCACATACCTTTCCACAAGAGATTTTTTTAATAACAATCTTCATCTTATTGAGGATGTTTCTGGACATTCTCAGTTCCTGCTTTCTCCTTTTTTCCTCTTTAAATTTGTATTAGCATGCCTCTGTCATTTTTTACTTATATCAACACTTAAATATGTGTCATTACAGTCAATGACCCTTTCAGTTTATGAGATGACAGACTAGAAGGAATAAAGTGGGAAATGTAGTAAAGTCTTCTTTATAGTTTATCATCTATCACTTTTGCTGTTAGTAGTTGCTGATCACTAGAGTCAGAGACAGTTAACTTTTGTTAGATGTTCTTACTCAAACTTACTGGTGCACAAACTTGCATGAGGATTTGCTAATAATTTTCTATCAAATCATGTTGATTTGGCAAACACTATTAAGCTAAGCTAAGTCATTTTGTAGTAAATGGACCATTCAGGTCCATTATATGCAGCAAATCTGAGGAAAGAGTTCAAAGACAGAGGAGAGAGCAGAGAAAGTGCAGGAAGTGTGCAGCTAGATGGACTGTTTTCCTCTGTGCAGCAGAGGACATTACTCATAGCTTCACAGTAGTTTGTGAAGTATTACGTGCATACGTATCTACCTAATTTACTTCTTGTTGTCTCATTTAATGGATCATTATTTTGGGAGGAAATAACTGTTTAATAGGTGCATGCATGAGCAGGCTGTTCTAATAAAACAAATCTCGAAGGTTGTAAAAATAGGGTTATTACAGGTGTTACTCCCAAATATGCACATATAAGTTGATGACAAAAGTCACAAAAGCAAAGGCATAGGACAGTGGCAGAGGCATTGGTAGTATAAATACAAATCATACATGCTCAGTTACTGAGCAGTTTCACTAACAGAACATGTGAGGTGGATAAAGTAGGCTTTAGGGTTAACAGAGAGAGTAAGCCCAAGTTCCAACAGATATACCATACTGCATATGGTAAAATGTGGACTTGGGACTAAGAAAGAACAAGGAAGCTAGTAGTATTAGCAAGCATATAAAAATAACTGGATTTGGGAGTTGGAATCAATGAGCCTTGTGGGTCTCTTCCAACTCAAGGTATTCTACGATTCTGCGATCTCACGGAGACCCAAAAAAAGAGGGAAGGAATCCATCCATGCCAGAAATACTATTGCAATTCCAGTTTAGGATGCCAGCAACTCCCTGCTCCCTTCCCCCTTCCCCCTTCCTCCTCCTCACTCTCATTTTCTTCTTGCTATGGACTAGCAACACTGACCTTAGGACTCAAAGTGACGTTCAGATAGCAGGCCAGAGAAAGTGATAGCTAGGAGAAAATCTGTGTATTATCAGTTTTTAACGGTATCACTGGAAATAAAGAGTAGCAACTGTATACTTTGGACTATGTGCGTTAATAGGCCTATAAAAGGACTAACATTTATTTATTTATTTATTTATTTATTTACTTAGAGTGTAATTAGGCTACTGAGAAATAGTTGGCTCCTATATTTATAAGTCCATACGTAACATATGTATCTTGACTTCATATTAATTGCACAATGTGCCTGATTTGGTACCACGATTCTGCCCTGGATAATTTATATGTGGCAACTTGTATGTATTATGTGTATCTGTATCTTGTGCTAAAAAGGACATATTACACTACTCGTCTCTCTGGCTTACTTTTGGTGGGTTTCTACTATGCAAGCTTGAGAGACAGAGATGTGTCTGCCCTGTTCCCTATACTCACAAGTCTTCCAGTGATAGCAGAATTAAAATCTACTAACATTACTCAGTGTACTAGGAATCGTAGTATGTGAATCTATCTATCTGAATCTATGAAAATGTCAGCATGTGGCTCAGATGGTTGACAGATTCAACTTTTGTTTTGATCCTCAGAATAAGCTCTTACAGCTTTTGTACAAATTCAGATTACTGGTGTCCCGTATGGTCAAAAATGATGAAGGGCAGCTATCACTGAATGAACACTGACAATTCCCAAGTATAATCAAGGCGGCTTTCTTAAACTAGACCAGCTGAACAGTAAGTCTATGTTTCTTCTGCTGTACAGATGCAAAAAATAGCTTCTGTTTCATGAAGGATACTGACCTGATGAAGTTAAAGGCAGTATTGTAGTAGCAGGATTTTCAGCAACAACTGAAAGAAAGCAAGTTCATTATGAACTCCTTTTATAGTGCAATATCTATTTTTATACAAAATAGAAAGAAAACACAGTCAAAAATCCTCAAAAGCTGTGGCTTTTTCTTATTTGTATCACTAACAGTATCCTGCTTCTCTATTTTTGTCCATTTCTCATTATTTTCTCAGACTCTGACCTTCCAAAGGAGGAAAAGTCTCGTAATTCCCTTCTATCCTGAGTCTCTGTTTATTATCTCACATATAAAATGTCTTTATCTTGGAAATCTCTTGACTCTTTTATACCATGGAACTTTTCAGAGCATCTGCATCATAAAGCAGTATTTATATCAGATAAATTAGTTAAAATTAATCTGGAATTGTTTGCAAGATAGAAAGTTACTCTTAGTCACTATGGAAATTCATTTGGAGCAAAACACAGATAAGTGTTATAGTTCGTTCCCTCTATGATATGAAATAGAAACAAAGTTTGTCTTGAAGAACATACTGAGACATTGAAAGCAAAAGAGCTATGTATACGTGGGATCGTTAGTTACAGTTGTTACTTTATTGCAGCACTCCTGATAGAATAGACAGATGACATCTCATGTGAAAAGAGGCATTTTAATGATGCACATCAAGAAAAGTTTTACTGCTTCAAAATTCATCAACAGATATGTAATCTTTTAAAAAGCTCTTCATAATTTCGTTTGGAGGCATTTTTCAAGTATAATAAGCAGTTGCTTTCCACAGTGACATGCAGCTATTTAGAACAAGTTCTTAAATGTGGTGCAGATAGTAAAAAGAAATAAAGATGTCAGGACTCTAAATTTAGCCTTTGAATAGCGGAAGTACTTTGCAAGAAATGCACCTTTTAGAACAGCGTAAGAAATGTTGCATAACAAATGTTTTACTCCTCTTAAGGCAATCAGTAGCTACTTGATAGTAGCTCCATCAGGTCTTCAAATGTCAGCTAATCAACTTCTACTTCAAAGGATTCAAATTGTTTTCTGTTATTATACTTAGTGAAGGCCTATTTTGAGTTCTACTGAAATTAAAAAAAAAGATTCTCATTGATTTTGCTGGGCTTTTTCTTAGGTTTTGCCCTGTTTTCTAGTACTTGCTTAAAATCACTATATTTGAGTATTTCCAAAATTTGAAAACATCTAGTTTTTAAAGCCGCATCATTTGTTTCCCATTTACACTTTACCTCAGTATCAGAGGAATTTGATACTAAGGTATCCTTCTCCAGAAGTCACAGACTGTATTAGCTTGCTATTCTTTTTGACATCTTTTCAATAAATAAGTCCTCAGTCACTGTGAAGCTGAACCACTTTCCTTATTCTTGAGCAAAACAAATTGATAGTTGCATTTACTTATGAAATACAGTCCAGGCTTAATTGCATTAATCTGAGGGACAATGAAATTACAAGTGTTATGCTGCATAAAATAGATGCAGTTGGGTGCTTTTGACTGGGAAATCCCTACTTTTACCTTTATTTCTTCCACAGGGGACATACACTAAACTGATTCATACTTTCTGTTTGACAAAGTTCTTTCACCTGCTGATGGAGATGGAGTAATGGAGAACACCCATAAGCATAACAATCCTTCTGATGGTTGGGATCCAAAGTTTTTACTCATATTAACAGCAGTTTTCAAGGATTTATATTAGCATTACCTGTGATTTGTATGCTGTTCACATCAATTTTCAAGGTCTGAGAAAGATCAGTTGCATCTGAGTTGATACCTGAAAGTAACTCATTCTTTATTTTCTCAGCTGTTATTCCCTGGGTAAGATAGAGGCCGAAGATCACAACAACACTAGCAATATAAAACAGAAAGTTAAGCAAGATAATGGAATCTATGATTTGAGTTACTGACATTTTGACTACATTTAATTATAATAGGGGTTTCACTTATAAACTTGTAGTATCATAAAGTGATGGCTGGTTAATATAAGGAAGGAAAAACTCTTGATTTTAGCTTAGAACATTAGAACATTGGAGAAACCATTTTCATCTCCCTTGCAACTCTTAGATCCATTGTAGGAGAGGAAAAGCAATAGCACTATTATTAATGCAATGAAAATGAATTGGAATAAACTGAAGAAGTAGGCTTATTCAGTACTTAACAGGTCTTCTAGTTTAATCTCAAAAATATTGATGGTGAACCTGAAGTTTTCACAATATAAAAATACAACACAAACTGGTCAATGCTGGATAGCAAACATCCTCTATGGATTATGCTTTCGCAAGGATCTGCTGTGTGATTACCTATATTTCCATAAGTAAACAATAATGGATATAATCATAGATATTTTGAAATCAGTGGTTGTACTTTATTTAACTTCTATGAGGCCTGAATTTTATCCAGAATTTTGTTTATTTGCAGTCTCTTACTCCATCATTATATACAATATTTGTAGCTAGATTGAAGTATCTGATTGAAGTCAAAGTATGATGTGTGCTAAAGATATATATTTTTTCCATTTACTTAGATTTCAGTGTGGTTGTTTATTTTTATTCCTAAGTGTTTATAGTATCAAATTGAAACAGACTCAGCAGTGTTTTTTGATATGGCCTGCAGCTGTACTGCAGGATTGAGCAGTTTGCAGTGTAAGGAAAAACTCTCCTCTTTAATTTCTTGTTTTTCATAACCTCTAGGCTGTGCTGAGTAAACAAAAGCTTTTATTGCTTTCATTGTGACTCAAAAGAGTTTTAAAGGTCAAATAATAACAAGGTTGCCCAAAGGGATAAACACCTTTTTAATGGCAAGAGTCAACGTGAAAATCATTTTTGAAATAAACAGATGTTATTTCAAAGCAGAAATGAAGACAAATGTCTAGATTTCTATTGCATTTGATGAAAGGAAACAAGCTGTTCTTTGGCATAATTGATCTTCTCCTGAAAAGGCATTCAAATATAATAGATGTGAAAACCTTAAAAGTAACTTTTTTTTCCCTTTATTTATAATCAGAGTTTTGAGCAACTAGCTCAGACATGCTTCTATCTTCAGTGAACAATTTTGATAAGTCTAATTCTACACGCAGAAACAAAAGTTTGCTACTTGGATCCATCTTCACAGAGACAAAAGTCTGCATGTAGTGCCTACTTCTTTTCCCTTAGTATTATAAAATAGTATTATAAAATCCTTCATAAGGTTATCGTAGTCCATCTTTCCATGTAATTTGTTTTATAACGTCACTATTGATTCAAATCTGCTTCTGATTTTCAGCATAGATGCATTCATAGCTGGCAAATATCCTTATCCTGTTAGTAAAATCCCTGTCTCCTGCTCATGTCTAACTGAAAATTGTTGTATGCAATTACCCTGTTTCAGATGTCTTCAAGATTTCATTACCTTCTTCAGGGTTCCTATAGGAAAAAAAGAAAAAAGCATATTATTCTCCTTGAGCTTATAATGTTTAATGCTATGGATAGGATGCAAGTGTGTTCTGGAACTGTATAAAAGTGGATTATAGTGTTATATTTGCTGTGTACACTCAAGACCATGTGAAGAGCGGTGCAGGTTGAATTAGTACCACAGAGTTCGCTGCATTTACTGAACTGTTTTGCCAGATAGCCTTCTGTAGGACAACAGAGATAACAGGATATTGAGAAGTGAAATTAAGCTACTCTTACTCTGTCTATACTATGGATTCTTTAGGACACACAGGATGCAGCTTTAAATGGTGCCAAGTGACAGCTTCACTTGCAAATTCCTTAAGTGATACGATTTAAATGGACCTGAGTCCATAGAGACATATTAGTATATTTCCATTCATCTCAGGTTATGCCAACAGAAAATCTCTGTCCTGAACTTTATTCTAGATAGGAAGAACAGCAAACCTGCAAATTTACTTACTTGAACTGGAAAATTTCACATCTCTCAAATTTATTTCTCAGATCACTTGCTTGAAAGATTTCTTGTATCTGTACAAAAAAGGTAAATTTTTAACCAATAAAATAATGAAAAATACACGTACTTGCACACTGCATTCATGGTTTTAATATATTTTCCCTCCTCACACCTCATATCAGCAAACTTTATTTGATGCTTCACTGATTTTCACAAAGAAAGAATATAATGGACATGAGGATGTTGGTCGACACTTGTCTACACATGAGACAGCAGCGTGCCCAAGTTGCCAAGAAGGCCAATGGTAGTCTGGCTTGTATCTGAAGTAGTGTTGTCAGCTGGAGCAGGGAGATGATTGTCCCTTTGTATTCAGCTCTGGTGAGACCACACCTTGAGTATGCGATCAGTTTCATGCTCCTCATTACAAAAAAACATTGAGGCCCTGAAATGTATTCAGAGAAGGGCAATCAAAGCTGGTGAGGGGTCTGGAGCACAAGCCTTGTAAGAAGCAGCCGAGGGAGCTGGGACTGTCTAGTCTGGAGAAGAAGACACCCATAGAAGACCTTATCAATAAAATCTCCCTGGAGATTGCGGTGAGGTGACAGTTTGCCTCTTTTCCCATGCAACTAGAAATAGAACAAGAGGGAATGCCTCAAGTTGTGTCAGGGGAGGTTCACACTGGATATTAAGAAAAATTTCTTCTCAGAAGGAGTGGTCAGGATTTCGAACAGGCTGTCAGGGAGGTGGTGGAGTCACCATCCTTAGGGATATTCAAGAAATATTTAGATATGGTACTAAGGGACATGATTTAGTGGAGGAATATTGATGGTAGGTGGATGGTTGGACTGAATGATCTTGAGTGTCTTTTACAATCTTGGTGATTCTATGATTCTGTGATGATTTCTGATCAAGCTTAAGATACTAAATGTCACAGTCTGGGGAAAGTAAAAATGCATCATCAACAGGTTATGTTAGGAAATTAATGTAGCTACCGCATACTCTTGGTTTAACCAGAGATAAATAGGTTCTTACCAGGTGTTCAACATCAAAAGCAAGGACTTTGAAGTCCCCTGATGATTTATCTTGCAAAGCAGGAGTGAATGATGTCCCAGAAATTATTTTAAATGTTCCTGTGTAGCCTTGGCTATTTCCAGAAGTTTGAGCTAGATTATTAAAAATATAATTAAATATTTATAAATAACATAATAATTATAATAATATAAAGGAATGTATTATATTTTATTCTATGCAGATCATAAAGATTATTTTTTAACCTGTTTTGCTTTGTATAAAGAGATTTTGCCAAGTGCTGATTTTTCATAAGTGTCAGATCATTTTTGACAAAAGTAATAACTGTAAACATATGAATACAATTTGCCCTTGGTTCTCATTACTTTCAGTTTCACACTACATGCTGAACTTTCCAGCAGCAGTTTGAACAGTTAAAGGAGACAGTAGTATTACTGTGGGGGGGCCTGAGCACTAGAACAGATTGTCTGGAGAGGCTGTGGAATCTCTGTCCCTGAAGATATTGAAAAGCCATCCACACATGGCTCTGGGCAGACATCTCTAGGCAGCCCTGCTTGAGCAGGGTGTTGGACTAGAGTGTCTCCAGAGATCCCTTTGAAGCTAAATCATTCCCTGATTCTGTGAATCTCTATAACATGTGAAACTATGTCTAATATAAGGAACAAAACCTGGAAATTCTCAGATAAGAGCTGAATTAATGTGACTGATAGAAGATACCTTTTGTTTATCAGCTATATTACCAGGGGTATTTTTAGAATGGGATTAATGGCATTAAGATCCAAGAATGAATTTAAATAAAAGAGAAGCTAACTAAGAAGTACTGTAACAGACAATTCGTGATGGAGGGGCGTAAGCTGGTGACATATTTCCTAATATCAACCAGTAATTATATTACCTTAAGCTTCTATTTGTCCTTATAACTGCATATCTATTTAAACAAATGTTTCTAAATAGTAGTTTTTTTTTTTTTCCTTTCTAAGTAAATCATGTCATATATAATTTAAAAAATGTCTTAGAAATATTATTTATACATGATGAAACTAATGCTAGTGCATCTGCTGTAAGAAAGACACCCGGGAAGTTCAACGTCTCCCTTGTACTGGGGAGACCAGAACTGAACACAGCATCCCTGGTGAAGTGCACAGTTAATATAAATCTTAAAAAAAAATCTTTAAACTAAAATTTCAATTCCTTTTAAAAGTCATTCTGTGTAGATTTCTTAAATTTACTTTACTTCAAACATCAGTTGTGTGATTTCCACACATTATGAGCATCAAGTAGATACTGAGAATTACTTTGCATAAACCTTATATAATTCTAGGAGCTGACTGTCTACTACAGAATCTCTCTCCTAACTGTATAGATCAACAACAACAACAAAAAGATATTTTTTCTTTTTCCCTTTTTAAAAAAAAAGAAGATTCAAAGGATTCTAGGGCACTTTAAAATTCTCCAGAGACTCCAATGGATTATGAATGTCTTCATGTGTCAAACAATACACATAGTGAAAAAGCAAGCATTCATAGTTTGCAATATTATGTTCACTATTTGATGAATATGACTGAATAAACAAAGCTTTACAGTTTGGATTAAATTCCAAGGACTACTCTTAAATTATTAGATGTGAAAATTCTCTCATTTCATCAGGCTTCAAGGCATGTGTCAGTGCTTTTATCTTGGCTTATTTTTTCTAGATCAATATCCAGAGAGGGAAGTGCAAAACAAACAAACAAAAAAACAAGCCAAAAGCATTAGAATTATAGGAAGAAATACGAAATATAATTACAGTGACAATGATACTGTCCTCAAAATCTGAAGTTTTACCGAGGATCTCCTGAATAAGTTGAATGTTGGTACTTACCTTGTTTTAACTCCTTGATTGTTAACCATGAAAGTGCAATCAGCCCCACACAAACACACATCAAAAGTGCAAGCAGAGAAACAAACAAAATTTCATAGTAACTGAGAGGAACGTATTTCTCACGAGATGATTTTCTCAGCTTCATTTCTGTCCTGAAAGCTTGTACCAACAGAGGACTGACATGAGAAAGAAATAACCTGAAAATGAGGGTAATAATTCACATGAATCACAGAATCACAGAAGTGCAGGGGTTGGAAGGAATATTTGTTTATTTACAGGAGACGCCTATCAATTAATTACACCATAAAACTTAATAGACAGGGTTTTTTTACAACATTTCTGAGCGTTCATATTCATTAACAAGATACGAGATATGCAAAAATGAAGAAATCTCTTCAGAAAGGAAATATTAAAATTTCTGTCCCAGATTTAAATAAAAAAAAAAAAAAGCAAGAAGCAAAGAAATGCAAAATTAGTCTCCAATGGTCCCGGCAGGGCAGGGCAGGGCAAAGAAGCCACCCTGGTGTGCTTGGAGACAGCCTGGGTAGGAAAAGGCACACAGCACATGGCTACAAGGGGTGAGGGGAGCAGGATAAGGAGTGGCCCTACAGCACCCTGTGGAGAGCAGACTACGGAGATCCCACAGAGGAGCAGATTTCCACACTACAGCCATGAAGGAATTCACGGTGGAGCAAGTGCATGTCATCTGAAGGAAGCTGCAGAGGAAAGAGATCCCATGCTGGAGCAGGATCCAGGACTGAACAGCAGCACATGGGGAGGATCCCACACAGAAGCAGGCTGCTGGGAGGAACTGCAAAGGACCTGCACTGGAGCAGGGAAAAAGTGTGAGGAGAAAAGAGGCAGAAAGTAACTCTGAGAGGATGAAAACAGGCCCGATTCCCATTTCTCCTGTGCCACCGAGGGAGATGGGAGTCAGGAATGAAGAAGATGAGCCTAGGATGAAGTGGATTGGGAAAAAGGTGTTCTAGTTTTGTCTTTGTTTCTCACTATCCAAATCAATTTTTAAGTGAAAATAAATTAAGTTAATTTTCCCCATTTTCCTGTTTTACACATGATGAAAGTCCTGGAGAAAATACAAAATGGTGAGGGATTTTCTTGTTTTAATCTCAGCCCACAAGATCTACAATTGGACTAGATGATCTTGTAGGTCCTTTCTATTATTCTATGATCTTCCATCTTATTTTCACACAGTATCCTGTTGAGGAGAGGAGTTGGGATAGGGAATGATTAGAGTCTGCCTGCTGTATGATGTCAACCCACCAAAATATCCCATGTTGTATGAAACAATACTAAAACTGGTCTTGCTCATCACCAGACATTTTCTTTCACAAATCTGAGGAGCTGAGTTCAAATTGACTTTGGATTCCTCTGTAGTATTTTGCATGCTTTGACTTTGTATCATTGACACTGTACATCATTAGTAAAAGCTAAACATCACCACCTGTAAATGTTATTACAATTTAAATTTGGAATTGATGCCCAAAGGAGATGGGTCAAAGGAGAAGTAAATGAAGTCATGGTCACTTAGAATTCAGTGTTTCACTAGCACCTTGCATGTGGTGATCGTCAAGATGTATATATACTCATATTTGTTCCACCCTAGCCAAGGACAAAACTTATCATGGGTAGTCTCCAATTGCAGTTGTGACTGCTACAAAGGATCTAATTTGCTAAGCAATTCTAGCTGGCAACAAGGTCCTGGTAGCAATAATTAACAGGCAAGCCCTGGAAGCTGAGCTGATAGTAATTAAGTCAACTCTCGTTCATCAACTGTAACATCTTACAGTCTGTACTGCTGTAAACTGATGAAAAAATAATATAACACTTTATGATTTCTCATAGTCATTTGTGAATCTTAAAAATTAGATGGGAGGACTTCAGCACAGTGTTAACACTAGCTTAGCATTAGTCTTGAATCATATTAGCAGCGCTTATGCTGAAAGGGACCTCTGAAAGTCATCTGGTTTAACTTCCTGCTCAAGCAAGGGCTAACTGGAATTTGATTTGTTTGTTCAGGGCTATATCCAGACAAGTTCTGAATATCACCAAGATGGAGGACCTCAGAACCTCTTTCGAAAACCACCTGTGCCAGCACTTGATTGCCTGCAGAGCGATTTTCTTTCCTAATGTCTTACTAGAACTTTCGTCACTTCAATTTATGCCTACTGCTTCTCAGCCTTTCACTATGACCCTCTGAAAAGAGATGGCTCCTTCTCTGAAATTACCACTTAAATGGCTGAAGACAGCAATTAGGCATCCCTACCAACTGATTGGCTCCCAGCCTCTATTGGCACCTAGGATTATTATAGAATTTGCTCCTGTTGAGCTCTGTTGAACCTCATGAGTCTTCTGTCAGCCTATATCTGTTTTTTAATGACAAGGAAGCCTAGTGACTTCACTCCTATTCTCTTATCCCTGATTAAATTATTGGTCTTCCTGCTCCTTCCCCATCTGAAATATTAGGTGTGTATTTTTTCTCCTGATATAATTTTAAAGTTTATTTTTTCACTTCCATTTCTTTTACAGATTGATAGGACTCTTGAAAATTAGATTTGGTTATTTGCTACGTAACTAAACTGATGAAATTGTGTGATCCATTCAGGAACAGAGGGGGCAGTGTTACTACAAAATCAGAGAGACTTTTTCTACCGTATTGCAAGTTGTGAATAGTTGCAAGCCATGAGCTGCCTGCAGCACAGAAATTAATCACTAAAGCAATTAATACAAAAATAATAAACTACAATATTCAATTATATTGGCAAAAATTTGCAAATAGAAAACTAATGAAATTAGTCACATGCCATTTTCTAAGCTCTTGTTTTGCCATGCCTGTTGTGAACTCTATGGTAATCAATTATAGTATGGTTTAAAAAAAAAGTTAAAAAGTTATAAAGGCAAATATTCTATGAGCAGTGTTCAAAATTAGAGAAAGATATTTACGTATTGATAATCAATTTTTCAGAAGTACTAGTATTGACATGCTAGTGATGTTTCAGCTTGGGCCATTTTCAAAGAAATAGACCTTCACTGGGGAAGGAGCCTAACAGATTCACAATTTAGTTGGTTTATATTGCATCTACATCTGCAGTTCCACAGGATTTATGGCCTTACTGGGCTCCGTTTATTTTCTTATTTAATCATTCTTCAGCACAGACTGAAAAGTCTGCTGACATAGAAAGGAGGGAATGTTGTGTTCTGATAATACCTCTAATATCCACAAATGTACTTAATGCCTGACATTCTATTAATTGCTAGCAATCTGCACAAAACTATTTTGGTTACCTACACAGACTTGCCCTCCACTATCTAAATGAAATGGAAATTGGCTTTCTTACGGCAGCTGTTTTCAGATGTCAAGATGATTTGTGCCTTTTGCTGTGTAGAATTCCACATACGAACGCAGGACTGAATCTGTAGACCTGCAGTGAAAGTGCAGAAACAGACTATGGGCTTGTTTTTACATCATAAACAAAATTATAAAAGGGAGTTCTAGGAAAGCACAACTTCCAGCAAAGTTGTATTTCAAAACAAAATCCTTACATATTGCTTACCTTTAACTCTTCCAACTGTTTGTATTGATGAGGAGAAAGATATATGGTGGTGGTCTGTCATGTGCAAAACTTTGTGTGAAATGAAAAATATAGATTTAATTTACTAGTTAACAGTATTTTTAGCAGTTGAAAATGTAAGATTTGTTCTGCAATCAATTATTTAAAACTAAAAGTTGCATAAATATCTTCTAAAACTTATTTGGCTCAGGAAGACTTATCTTTGCAGAAGAATTGTGACTTGTCAGAGGATCACACATTGTTTATATACACACTATTTTCATCCACTTCCAGGAAAACTGAGATTGGAGAACTTGTTCAATACTCAGTTGTCTGGGATGCTATTTCTTATCTAGAGAGGTCCTTAGACAAGTTTATGAAATTTTAAAATCTCATACAGTATTAAAGACATCATCTTAAAAAAAATTGGACTATGGATGGTAAAATTACTATGCTGCAGGACATAAAAATATTCAACAAATGAGTGACCTGATTCTGTGATCAGAAACAGTAGCAGTTTAGGAAAGACATATGTTTTAGTCAAGTGAAAGGTATGAGAGAACAATGTCTCCATTTTCACACTGAAACTGTTAGTTTGAACTATTAATAAATAAATAAATAAGCAATCTGATTTCAGAGTCATGGAACAAGTACAACTGCTCATAGGCCTAGGTAATGTAGAACTTCTTTAGGTTAAGATATGTCCAAGGCATGAAGATAGAGAAGGTAGCTGGACACTGCTCTCCCTTCAATCCTTAAGCACTGCCCAAAATGGGGCTCTGAGTATACAGTGAAATAATAATTGTTGAAAGCTTGGTTGAGTTTTTCTAGTTTTCCTCACACTGGAGGATTTATTGGCAGTATGAAGATCTTACGGAGTTATCTTAGAACAGTATTTGCTCTGAGACAGTACCTGAGAACTTTCATATACACAGCTGACAAGAAATAGAATTTTGCAAGGATGATCAATGAACAGATGAGGTACACATGGACGGCTCCAAAAGTGATGCCTCCAATTTTTTTCCCACTGGAAACTGTAAAAGATGCAATAAACACAATAACACTACTGGGTAGGGTAGAGCAAATTCTCATCTAGAAAAAATATTTTTCAACATAGACATCACCATTAGTCATGCACTTTCTGTACTTGTAAATTCTGCACTTGTGAAGGTGACCTACTGCTTCACAGCTGCTATGATGCTGCTGCTGCTAGGAAAATATTGCCCACACAGTCCACTTATCATCAGCTTGAGCAGGTGGAAGTCAAAAGACACGAAATCCTGAATATACAATGGGTGTGGTAAGATTGTCCAGCCGAGACTGGCAATGTATTCCACAGTCTTTTTCTGTGGGGCCCGGTGTTTTCATGTTGCAAAAGAAAGGTTGTCTTCTTCTCTTGGCTGACTTTGGGAGTTTGAGCCTTTAGCTTAGACAGTGTCGTGATGTAGCAGTTGATGGTTTGCCTGGGTCCCATGAAATTCAGAAGGATTAGCCTTTTCCTAACTTAGAAGACAGTGCACACCACTACTTATTTAGGACTGCGTCTTCAACTTTTTATTTGATGAAGAAATTCATGTCATGAGTCCATGATCCTATGTTTTGACTGCAACTCATGGTGGTGGCACCATGTCCTGTTACCAGTAATGAGGTGATCCAGGAAACTGTCACCTTCAGCCTCGTAGTGTTTAAATAGGCCCTGACAAATGTGCATACAATGTTCTTTTTCCTGTGTGAGTATTTGTGGGCCCTACCTGGAATGAAATTGTAATATTCCAGTGTTACCACCATTTTTTCCAACACATTGAAGACACAATTCCCTAGTCGTAAGCCACCAATTCATGTGGATGAGCTATAGAGACGCTCTTCATTTTGAGGTGTAATAGCTGTGCATGGCTGTCAGGAATGTGGTCATTCACATCAACGTTGCAACTGCTGAAGCGCACCACCCACCACCTCATTGTGCTACCATCCGCTGTTTGATCTCCATAAACATTCAGCAAGCATAGATGAATATCAATGAGTGCAATTTTTTCCACATAGAGGAATTCAGTTTTACACCATTGTTTCATCTACACTTTCATGTCAGATGCCATTCTGTCATACTGCCCCTCTGCTGCCATCTGTCACAAAATGTAATGGAATATTGGTAGGAAGGTTCAGCCTCTACTGCTGTACCGCCAACAACCACTTCTGACCTTGTGGGCCAGCATAATGAAGTAGGAGGCATTCCTTTCAGAGCAGCCTTTTTATGCTGCGCAAATTAGGTAACTGAATGCAGTTATACATTTGCTTTATCTGAGGATCATACTGAGACTGTGGCAAAATAGTTCAAAGGGGTTTTACATTACTATTACGTCAGATTATTTTTATGCTGGTTTGTGCATTCATAATTTATTTAAATTCCGAAATGGGCCACCGAGTACTGAAAAGAACATGCCAATGCCAATTTCTTTATAAGAACTAAACAGACCCAGATATGCCACACAGGAGAAGGAATCAGTCAAAACTTGCCTGAAAATGCTGATTGGAAGAAGCAGGTAAAAAACAAGGGATCAAGAGGTAGTAACAATACTATTGTTCCTTAGATTAAATTAATGTAAAAGCCGGGGTATTAATAATGGAGTGGTAGCTGAAAACAGCAGTAAATTTGTCACAGTTTAATAGTTCCCATGAATAAAACCAATTACAGCAACATTATTGTGCACATAGTTTTGTGCCTTGTAGGCCAACATGGAAATCTTGAAAGGAAAATAAAATTGGCAGAGGAATGGTTCTCTGTCTTTCTTAGCTTCTATTCAGAATGCCAGAATAAATACAGTCTCCTTTTTGTATACTAGGCACACAGCTTTTTGTCAGCATGCATTTGTTTCCTTAGAAGCACTGGAATAAAAACATGCTTGCATGTCAAAAAGGTCTGAAGCAAAGGCTTAGGTATGGGCTAGTTTAACTTCTTTTCATTCTACATAAACCATTTGAAGATATATAAATAATCCATATGGGAAAAAAATGCTTGTTTTAATACGGTATACGTTGTACAATGAGAAGCTGTCCTTAAAAATGCACCCTCCTCTTTTTGTGCAGCCTCCAGCAATCTTTCCCAGGGTTGTAAATGCTAGCTAGTTGTAGTTCTTGATATGTATTTAGAAGTATGTATCATTCAAAATAAGAATACAAGAAATGGGAAATTCCATGTCCAAATAAAGATTAAAGCATCAACATCAGTATATCATAATAATGATTTTAACCATTGAGCATTTTATTGACCACAGATTGTAGTATCAGCTGTTTTGCTGTTTCGTAGATCAGCTACCTAAAGATACTTAGAAGGTCATTAACTATGAAAAATGGGAGTAAATCCTTTTTCTCTTCAATTCAAACACTTTAGAAGGTCCTAGTCTTAAGATAATTTTCTCAAATCTCTGGCTTTCTTAGGCAAAAATTGATCTTTTCTTTTACAACTTTGGAAGAAGTAATAAATATTTCTAACCAATATAATAAATACTACAAGAACTAAAATATCTTGTCCAGAAGTCTTTGGAGTGATTAGGAAAACCTGTGTAAAGTCCACTTTTTTTTTTTTTTATGAAATATTTGTACTCCTATGTAGCAATATTATGGATATGACAGCACTTTCAGCTGACTGAGATTCTATGAAAGAAAAACAATTAAAAAAAGAAAAACAAAAACAAATAAACCTTCTGAATATCTCTATTATTATGCCATGCTACCATCTCACAGATGTTTTTTTCTTCTTGATCACATTATCCAAAGCAAAAGGAAACTGATATGCAAGTCAGAGGGAGTATATATGACTTCAAAGAGAAGAAGAGGAAATCTGAAATCCTTGCAGTTCTCTCATCTAAATAGTGCAAAAAATGAGAAGAAAACTGAGGCCAGATAAACTGTAAGAGCACTAATGAAAAATTACCTAATGCTCAATATTTCAAGAGTAAGCATGTCTAGTCTTTCTAAATATACCTGTTATGAAATGAATTTAAAATTTTTTAAAATACTTTTGACGTCAACAATATCCAAAAATTCCAAAAACAGTTGGCCTTCATTTTGTTCCTTTTCTTTTGAAATCTATGGTAAACTTTTCAGTAAAAGCTGAGCTTGACTGGTAGAAGAATTACTTGAGTGCAGAACACTTAGAAATAATCACACATTACACCTAATATATCAGAAAGGCAACAATTATTGGATTGTTTTAATGTTTTTCAAATTGCCTGTTTTGGAGGAAAGGAATAATAAAAAAACAACTGTAATGCATCTTTCAAATGCCCCCAATCAAGATAAAACAGATCAAAAGTTCAATCTCTAAATTATTTGATCACTCTTATTTTCTTGTCCTCTATACTTGACCCATGATATGACTACTGAACAGAGATAATTTATATGCTTTTAAACACATGTAAAAAGGCATCAGGGTTAGCCCTCTCTGGTAATCTATTTATCTTACATCAAATTAACTTTTCACATTGGATATTTGACAAGATAATGGATAAATAAGATAAAGAATGTACAGTGTGCTTTTTTTTGGTGATAATTATTTTAACAGGAATTTGCAGAAAGCAGAAGGATGAAGAAGATGCTCTTGGATTTCAAAAATGGGATCAACTAAGCATGTAATTACTTTCTCAAAGGTTCATAAAACTGTGCTGAACTATCTGACCAGGAGTTCAAATTTTGGTCACTATGTTGATATTGTTAATCATCATCCACTGTAAGTGCTGCAAAAATAAGACTATCTCTTTTGAAATAATTTAAATGCTCCCAAGACACTGAATACGCAAAAACCATTAAAACTTGTAAAAACTTAGAAGTATTAATGAGTTTTTTATATTAATATCTATACAAAGTGGGGAAAAAGTACCAAATATCAGATACAAAATACTATCAATTGTATTTTAAATTGCATAGCTTTTATCAATGGCAGGCTTTCAGTCTCATTTCTTCTTCCTTAGAAATCAGAATTAGCACAGAAAAAATGATGAAAACCTGTCAACTGAGACGCAGAACTACTCCACACGAAAGGATTTACATACAAATATAAATTGACTTTGACAGGCTTGATATGTTGTGTAGGAAAACGGAAATGTGAAATGAGAAATACAACTGTTTTATTAGGTCTTTCTGAAACATAGTGAAAGGTAAAAAACTGGCTACAAACTGATCAAATGCAGCCAATAGAGATTTCACATGATATTTCAGATTGCACAAGATTTTTACATAGGAGTAACATGAAAACTGGATGCATGACCATAATTCCACAAGATAGAAATTTAAGGTTTGCAAATACTGGGCATTCTAATTAGCATTTGTCTCTCTTACATAGCTTAAAATATAATTATTTATGTTTCAGCATTTCCAGCTAGGAAATGTTTCAATGCAATTCAATAAAAATATCGACGTTGTCTATGTTCCTTCCTATCCCCAGCATCTGGGGTATTAAGAAAAGAGTAAATCTTCATTGATACTGCACAAGCTCTTATGAGCAACATTATCAGTGAATTACCGAACCTGGGCTAGCCGGAAATACAAAGCACAGAACACTATGAAGTAAGTTAACTCCAGCCCAAGCAGACTTGCAGTAAACAAAACAAATACTACTTAATTTAATGATGTAATGCACTGAGTAAATAAGTAACAATGCAGTAGATATGATAAGCATCATATCTAATACAGTGATATGAAGCATGCACATTGGTGAGAGTCAGTGACATTGCAAAGAGGAAAGATTTTTTGAACAACTACTTTAACAAGCAGGGCAATGGGGAATTTTAAACTGCTGAGGCAGAAGGTTTCCAATAATAGCTCAGTTCTGAAATGGTTCAAGACATGAACGTTAACAAATTACAAGGTCAGAGTAACACTTCATCATGCCAGACCTTCCTTTTATTGTCTTAAGCACTAATATAGAATTAATCTAAATCTACACAGGGAATCGCATAAGTTTATAGGCTATAAATTATCAGCTACTTTACATCTAGGCTGTTCAGCCTTACCTTTTTACTTGGGAGAGACCCATTTCACCTATTCCTAATGTACATAATACTTCCTGGTCACCTTTCTTCCAGTTAGCTCTTGACATATTACCTGCTGTGTACTTAATGCTGCGGGTTTATGTGTGCAGACTTGCTATTAATCTACTTTTTTATTCTTTCCTGTTGTATAAGGTTATTTGTATACGATGCTGTATATATATGAGAAACGGTATAAGAAATTGTATCAAATAACACTAATATTCAAAGGATATTGTTGTCCATCACTCAAAAATGATTGCATAGTACAATTTTCTAAGTTCTCCTATACTACGGTCTGCAAGTAAAAGTGGTGATCCAGATCCATATAATGGTTAATATAAATCCTGTCATTTTGTTATTCTCAAAGTATTAGATTTGGTTTGGTCTGGAAATGAAACATGATTTACTTTAAATTAACTTTCACTTTTTTGTTGCTTTCCTGTAAAGACTCAGAATCATCGTGATCATGTGCAACAAAAGGTGATGCAGAGAAAACAACCAAACATTATCAAATATCACAAAATTCTGAAAGGCACATGTTTGAAATGCTTCAGATATCCCTTATTTGCAAAACATATTTTACTGTGCAACATTTGTTCTTAATTTATAGAAACTGACAGAGTTGACAATGATGTTTTGTGGAAGATTATAACTGTGGTACTAGAAATTAATTCTTTCAAAAAGCTCTAACATTTACAAATTTTAATATTTAGAATAATTAACTGAAAATTACTTGTTTCTTAAGTATTGGCACTATACCCCTTCCCCTTTTTATTTGCCTTTCTTTTTCTACTCTGTCACAATGGACACTAACCCCAATGTGGGAAACAGAAAATCAAATCACTGAAATCATCCTATCATACTTACGTAAAAATACATTATAATATTTCTATATGTTTATACATAGAAGAAAATTTAAAAAGGATTGTTATCCTGGTACATCATTTCCCATTGTCCTATGGAATCAGATTTAATGTTTTTGCATTAATGAAATGTGTTGTCCAGTTCAAGAGACCAAAAAGCTCATGCACATCATTTTCACATACTCAAACATATTATTCAATAAAAAGTTTTGTATTTTTTTATTTAATGGCATACTACTACTGTGGAGATTAATACAGTGTATGTATAACTGACTATGGTATGTAATGGCCAAACACTGCATTTAGCTGAGAATAAAATCAGATTTTTCTGAGCTGCTGTTCAGCAAAGAAAGGCAGTTGTTAGGTCCTGCACACCAAAAATATGCAGGTTTTGGTAGTAACTGGTAATTAGTTGCATTTAACTTCACTTTCCATGTTATCACAGACTGTTTGGAGGCTGAGCAAAGGGTTACAGGTGGTACATTAGCACAGAAAGGAAGTTTTCAGCCCCTGAGGACAAGTGGACTAAACTGAAGATTATATGCTCCTACTGTGGCCATTCTGGAAAATGAAGTACAGAAAACAGATTTAAAAAATATAATATTAATCTTAATCTTTTAAATATCTCATTGCAATAGAGTGAAGCCAAATATTTCCCCTTTGTCTTATCTAGAAGTGTCAAATTTATAATCTGAAGAAATACATATTGTTTCAATATTTTAACACTTCCTGATTACTTTTCGCAATGTAAAATCTATGTACGTCAAATTGTTATCACTAAGTTCAAAATACAAGAGCTGCTCCAAAGTACTGCATTGTATGTTATTATTATGACATCAGAAGCAAATGCTGGTGATATGTCAGTAGAAGTTTAGCCTTCCTACCAACATTCCATTACATTTTGTTTTTATGTGATAGATGGCAGCAGAGGGGCAGTCTGACAGAATGGCATCTGACATGGAAGTGCACATGAAACAAAATTGTGTCACTGAATTCCTCCAAGTGGCACCCACTGATATTCATTGACACTTGCTGAACGTTTACGGAGACCAAAAAGTGAATGTGAGTACAGTGAGGTGGTGGATGGTTTGTTTCAGTACTGACGACAGTGACAGTGGGTCACCTCCACTAGTCTAAATTTCTACAAAGAGATATACTGGCTCTTGTCCATTGCTATTGAAAATGCATAACTAATGGTGGTGACTATGTTGAAAAAGATTATTTTGTAGCTGAGCATTTGCTCTATCAACTAGTTTTATTGTGCTTTTTGTATCAGCTGTATCTTCCATGGAAATAAATAGGAGGCACTATTTTTAGAGGGTGGCCTATGCATATTGTCTGGAAAATCATGGGCTAAAATGTTTATTCTATCAATATTAAAAAAAATAATAATAATAAAAAGAGTAAAAGAAGCCACTACACAAAACTCACACACAAAAAATAACCCATAACTATATAAGAAAATGCTCTAACAGAAGCAGAAGTGGTTAATTAAAAATCTCTCACACAGGTCACTATGTGCTACTGAGAGAGTGTGGAAGAGGTTACTATAGCTGTGGGTAGCTGAGAGAAGTATTTGTAACTAGAAGCATTTTTATTTAGAACAGCTTGTGAAAACCAAAAAGCTTTTTCATTCTTTCTGTTAGCACAGTGGTGTAGTAGCAACAGTGGGCAAACAGGCACTGGAGAGCTATAGGCAAATAGTTAATGACATTATTATAGCGGCTCCTGTAAGTTCCTATGTTTGAGACTTTCTTCTGTGCTGTTTTTATCAAAGGGCCATGCTTGGTCCATCTAAAATAAAAAAGCTATTACAACTCTGAATTCAGGACTGTATCCCCATTACTGCACCTAATGAAGGATCATATTCCCTCTCTTACTAAATCAGAGTAAAAAGAGTAAACCCATAATGAGAAGACCACAGTTCTAGCAATCTTTCTTATTGTTTGTTTTTGTTTAGCACTATGACTTTCCTTTTGGTTGTCTTGTCTTGACACCCTCATTCTCCAGGGTGTAATCTGCATTCATCAGCTATGAAAAGGACATCTGTCTGTTAAGGTAGATTTAAATGGATCTAAGTTAGAGTTACTTTTACCATTATTTTTTTTTTCTATACTCCCACATAAACCCTAAATTTGATGTAGAATTTGAAATCACCTTCAAGCAATTTCAAACCGCAACTAAGAAAATATTTCTCAGCAAACATGGAATGACAGACTAGAGAAATTTCTGAATTTCAGTGCATACTGGAGAGAGAGGGCAGGGGAGGCTACAGCTCCATTATTTTCACACAATCTACTGTAGGATAGAATTCTCTTCCATCACTGAATATCTTCTTAACAGTTGCACTGCTGCACAGTAAAACACTTCTCAAAGGTTATGCGGGGACAGTTTTCTGTATGTGCATATGTGTATAATATACATATAAATAATTAAAACTGTGTATCTTTAGAAAATGAATAGAGTATATATTAGAAATATTTTTAAAAAATCCCTTCAAACATATTTCTGACTTAGCAAGTGAGTATCTATTCATTACACAAAGTTTTCACTTAAACTATTCACTATAGCTCCAAAGATATACCTCTTTTTCTGAGCCTATACACAGCATTTCTAATGAATTGAGAACAACTCTTATCTACTTACGGAAGTGCACATTGTATCTTGGTATCATTTTTCAGCAAGAATTTCATGTTTAATCACAGTTTCTGTGAGTAGAGAGAACCATGTGCCCATGGCAATGACACTAAACATTTGCATAGATCTGATTGCTGAAGCAGAGCCTAAGACCTTAATTTAGAAGAGCGCATAAATTTATGCCTATCTGTAAGTATACCCTTGAGCCTGACTGCCACTGAAACAAAAATGATGAAAATGTGACCTTCGATATCACAATTCACACAGCAAGATAACACCTTAATCATAAGATCAATAACAAAAGCAAGCAACACTGACTTCAGACAGTAGCTTAGCTACAGCTTAACTTTCTTTATTGGAATGTAATTTGGTCCTCAAGTGTGCAAAAACCAAATGTAGGAACATAAAAGCAAGCTTTCTACACCTTCAGTCAAGAGACTCGTTACTGAACATTTCTTCTTGAGGATTTTACTTTTTTTTAAATTACACAGCATATTGTGAATACGGGCATTGCTGAATATGGTGATTCTAGTGAGAAAGATAACAATGAAAAACAAGTATCTAATAAAACAGAAAAATACATTTTGCTAGTAAAAACAGCCAAAACAAGGAACAGAAAAGTCAAGGTCAAGCAATCCATAATTTCACAGAAAAAAATGGACAGGTCAGAACTTGCATTGGAAGAAATATCATTAACTGCAGAAGAAAGAGAAATGCTAGACAAAGGCTATTGAATAGCTTCACACGAGAAGACAGCAGATGCATGATTTAAATCTACCTAGTTACTTGGGGTTGGTTTTGATATCATCAACCAAAGGAAAGAAGACTGTCAATAGCAAGAGTTATATGCATTTGTAGTGAAAAGGTCATAAAAGTTGCATGCTATACATTTTCTTTTTTTAAATGTTTCCAAGTAAATTTTTAATGTAAACAAGAAGAACCTATAACCAAAGCTTCAGTATGTAAAGAACTTGAAAGGTTAGTAGTTAGTAAGTAGTAATAAGTAGTTAGTAGTTAGTAATGTAGCCGATCACTGAGCACTGATGCATTTTAGTATACAATTCTTGAACAAATTTAATAAAAAATGCAAGATATGTGCCACGTCTCTTGAAAAATAAGTTAGTTCTATATGACATGTTGGTTATCTGATTTTATGCATTAGCAACTGTGCACACAGATAAGTCAGTTTGATCCTCTGCTGGAATTGCAGTGAATTATTTTTAAGTGCGTGTTAGGAAAAAGGCATTTCTGTTTATCTTTTGAAAGCTTGTTAATAGTAATACATGGTTTTATTATGGATTAGTAATTCAAGAAATGAAAATAATGTATCTATTTTCTCAAATATCTCCTACCAAACTCAAAACTTTAAATCTTTCTACTATTCTCCCTGAATTTCTAAGTTAGTGCAGAGATGCTCACCTCAAGAGGGTCACAGAGCTAACAGTCGTATACCAGAGGACATAGTTCAGCTTTGAACATCTCCTTGGGGAGGCAACTAGGGTCTCATGAGAAGAACTTATAGTTGGTGCTTTTACACTCTCAGGATAAGCAAGAGGTCCTACTATGAGCAGGATGATGCAAATAGATGATTGGACTGAATGATCTTGGAGGTCTTTTTCAACCTTGGTGACTCTATGATTCTATGACTCTGTGGTTCTTTGCATTTGCTTTTTTAGAGAAATTTTAATCAAGATATTCCTTTAGCCTTTGAAAAAGAGGAGGAAAATGATTTTTTTCCATAGGCAGATCAAATTTGACTAAGTTTTTTAGTTCATAGAAATTGACTAAATTTTAGAATTAAGGTTAAAGTAAGAGCCTGCTTAAAGCACAACCAACCTGTTGTAAAATGCAATCTGTTAGTGTCTTTATAGGTAAAAATAACACCAAAAAACACCAAAACCAAACCGTGAACAAAACTGAATGCAGACAAAATCTCTTCTCCTTATGAATGTACAGCCCATATTACTGACCTAAGGCAATAGATAACAGCACGTTCCTTAGCTCTAAATCATCACAAAAAGTATGGATTTGGATTCTGACAAACAGCCAAAGAGAGTAGAAATGTGTTGTGTAGGGTACAAATGAGGAGAGATTACTTGGCTGGCAGTTGGCTGTGCTCCAGTCATCCTCTGACAGGCTGGAATCTCCTCAGAACTCAAACAGCAGGTTATGGCTGTATTAATCTAATGACATAAACTGCTTTCAAACATCACAAAGAGCATAGCAGGTTAAATTCACATTTAAAGTACTGTGCTCTTTTGAGAATGTAGTCCTGTGCTTTGAAGTGTGTTCCTCTGAAAATGCTAGGTGAGAATTCAGGGCAACAAACCTTGTGTCAGAGAAAAGCTGAAGGTACTGTAAAACATGCAATTTTACTGGAAGCTTTGTGTTTGCCAAGAATACTCTTATATAACAAATTTGGAATGAAAAAAGGCAGAGTGTGGTCATTCCTATAAGTTCAAGGAAATAATCTCCTTGATCCGTACTTGCTAGATATCCTTGACAATTTTCAAACAAGCCATTTTTGATTGGCAGGTGTTCGGTAGTACTGTACATTAGTTCTAACAAATGATAGAACTTAAGGGGACTGATTTTTCTATCAGCGTGCTTATGCATACATATACCAAATTCTGCAGTGCAAACTGCCACTAAGGAAACTGGAATTGATTGTTGACTACTGTGTGAACTTTACCTTCTAAGATGGACAAGTTTGGACTTTGTGCAGATTTTATTTCCTCTAATATTGTTATAGCCCTTATCTGTTTCATTACGTGTGAGATTTAATTGTATTGACACATGATCAGCAATGTTTCATAAATTATTGCAATGCCTGTGATGGAAAGTAATGTATCACTGAAAATTGTATTTATTTTATTCAGAGGAACCAGTAAAGTATTGATGCTTCTTAATTTCAGATATACAACTCTAAATTACAGGAAAATTCATTGAGAAAAATTCATTGAGATATTTTTTTTTCTCAATTGTATTTCTTTGTAACTTCTTATAAAAAGCTACATTTTTTTTTTCCTTAAGTTTGTGAGAAACATGTTCAAAATCAAAAATTTGTAGTCAAGTAAAGATCTTCATAAACAGCAGTTTATTTATTATTGCAATAGTAGGCACACACTCCCTACTGACAAGAGAGAAATCACACGTCTAGTTAATGAAATCCATTCCACTGAATACCCTGGGTCTGACATAGGTAATACTTCTCCTGGCACTTATTGTTGAGCGTCTCAGGCTTACAATCTTCCTGATGCTGTTGCTACGATACAAGGTCTGTTACCAGCTACTACTTTTAGGTATGTTTTTACTTTTCTATTTACTTTTCTATGGAGATAGGAGGGCAATGTTTCCAAAAGTTAGAGCATTCATTCTGTCCTGTACAAGGCTCTCCCTACCATGAGTCTTTACCTTACCTTGTGCCTGTGCCAATTCTACCCAGGTCAGAATGCCCCAGTCTCAACTTCACTCTGTTCAACAGCTTTCTTTGTGGAAAACAACTTATCCAACACTACATACAGAAATACTGGAAACTTCCACTGCAAAAACACAATCTGCCTCTCATAATTTCCCCTCTTTTTCTTTGTACCCTTCTTGTGTTTTTGCCCCAAAGTATAAAACACTTCTTATATAAGAAAACTATCTTTCTAATCAGGCATGACAATTGACAATAATAATTTATCAAAACTAATAATCTTGCTATTCTCCATACTCTAATATATATATGCTTATTTTTAAAAATAACAATTTTTTCACTACTGTATGATTCCTCCTGATAAGAACAGGTAGTAAGTCTTGAATTAATGCATAACCAGACTGTAGTACTAAGGAATGTGGGGAAGACGGGGAAATTTAGAGATAGTAAAGAAAGAAGTTCTAGCAAAAGTCTTACAGAGTGCGGATAGTTACCACCAAAGGATCCAGCAACATTTTGTTGGTCTGTGGGGAGGCATCAGATTGGTCAGCAACATCTTGATAACTAACAGTTGCAGTTTGGCAGAGAGGAACCTGTTCTTCCTTGGGACACTCGGGGCCTGCCTACCCCAACTATCAGGGACATCATGTTCTGTCCATCGTGGTGATGGTAGCTGTCAGGGTACCCACAGTTTGTTCATCATGAGGAACAGCACATCTGTCCTCTTACCACTGTACTCATTGTCCCAAATAAACCAAGATCAGAAGGTAGGTGAAATCCAAAGTTTTGGAGCGTGACCAAAGTCTTCCTGTAATTTTGCCAGCTCAGTAACAGAACAGGGGACCTCCCTGATAATAACATCAGAGTACCCACTTTTGCCTTCTTCATATTCATGCCCAGTTTCTTTTGGAGGGCAGAGAAGGATTACTGGGTTTTCTAATATTTCTTTTTGGGCTTTCACATCCTCCAGACTTTCTCCTGGATACAGGTCATTACCTGGGCAACTAGCGTTAACATCTCCCTCTCGTTTACTAGCTGTTCTCTAAGAGCTTTGTTAAAGGAGAACTTTTGAATATTTTTGTTTCTATAACTGTCCCCTAAGATTTTCTACTTGGCCCTGCAGGTATGTGACCAATTCCTGCAAGGACTGAATAATTTGGATTTATGGCATGTGCTGCTGGTTGTGGGTCTTTAAAGCAGCAGTAAGAGCAGCTCCTAGAACTGCACAACTAATTGATTTTTCCCTTTCTCTACCCAATACAAGCTTGTTTGTGAAGGGAATTTATATGATCCACGACTCCCTCTATATTAGACCAGTTATTCTGCTCCCATTCTATTCCCACAGGGGAGGGGTTGGCACCACGGTTTTCTAAGAGGATGAAAAGCAGACTTCCACCCTCATTCTTCCTTTTTTTCTTTTTGTTTGTTTGTTTGTTTATTTGTTTTTGTTTGTTAATGATCATGGCTCAAAATGTGGGGCAATCTCTTCGGGGGGTGGAGGGTGGGGTGGGAGGGCAAAACACGTAATATCAACAACTGAACAATTTGCTTCTTACACTCTCAAAGGGTCAACTTCCTTTTTTATACCAATAAGGCATTTGGTGCTACGACCTGGACACATTCAGGCCAACCTCTAGATAAAGGGTCTAGTAGCTTAGACAACTGTGCAATAGAT